CACTTGTCACTCAATCACTCACTCACACATCACTCACTCCTACTGCCCGTGTCAAACTTCTTTAGCCGCATATACAAAACACTGTCTACTACACAACTAAACTAATTCCGCAGCATCCACTTCTCCCTAAGGCCTGGTAAAGTTTGCACTATATTAGGGAATAGGGTACCATTGGGGACGACACTGTTATCGTCTCTGCATGAACCGACAACACCTAAAACTCACATTCCCTCCCCAACATCCCCCATACAGATGGTGCACTGATTTGTGTCTCCTGCTTTTGTTCAGCATTGACCGAAAGGTACGGGGAGCACGCCTTGATGTGCTTGGTGCAGGAGGAGAAGAGGGAGGGAAGATGAGAGGGGGCAGATGCCCCAACAAAAGCCTTGTTTGCTGTCGTCTAGTATTCTACTCTAAGTCACTTTTGTTGTATAACAGGGTGCTGTAGGTCCCGGAGATGCATAGTGGGTGGTCATGGGAGCATCCCAAATGGCACCTTTCCCATATCGTGCAATACTTGACGGCTTGGTTCCTTACCGATTCATATCGGGGGGGAATATAGCTGTAGCCTGGCTGCCAGGATGGTTCTGCTTTAAATAACAAGTATTGGGCCAGAAACAACACCTAATCTCACCTACCAGCTTTACCCTAGCTTACCCCTTACCCCTATCCTTCCTAGCTTACCCCTACCCCTAGCCTCTACCCCTTTACTCCCTAGCTCTACCCCTTTACTCCCTAGCCTCTACCCCCTTACCCCTAGCCTCTACCCCTTACCCCTAGCCTCTTACCCCTTTACTCCCTAGCCTCTACCCCTTACCCCCTAGCCTCTACCCCCTTACCCCCTAGCCTACTACCCCTAGCCTCTACCCTACCCTAGCCTCTACCCCCTTACCCCCTAGCCTCTACCCCCTTACCCCCTAGCCTCTACCCCTTACCCCCTAGCCTCTACCCCCTTACCCCCTAGCCTCTACCCCCTTACCCCCTAGCCTCTACCCCTTACCCCTAGCCTTCTACCCCTTTACCCTAGCCTCTACCCCTTACCCCCTAGCCTCTACCCCCTTACCCCTAGCCTTACCTCTTACCCCCTTACCCCCTAGCCTTATACCCCCTTTACCTCCCTAGCTCTACCCCCTTACCCTAGCCTCTACCCCCTTACCCCCTAGCCTCTACCCTTACCCCTAGCCTCTACCCCCTTACCCCTAGCCTTACCCCCTTACCCCTACCTATCCCCCTTACCCCTAGCCTTACCCCTTACCCCTAGCCTCTACCCCCTTACCCCCTAGCCTCTACCCCCTTACCCCCTAGCCTCTACCCCCTTGCTCCCTAGTCCTTATTTCCTAGCTTATACCCATCCAAACCACTCAGAACTACCAAAGGTACTAGGGTAGGGGCTAAGGGCTAGGGGCCCTTGTTGTTGAACACCAAACCAAGTCAGGGATCCAGGCTAAGAGAGGTCGAGGAGAGGAAGGTGGGGGGATTATGGAGATGTTTTCATATTTCACTTTTTACTTTTCTTTATGTAATAAAGACAAAGGAGTGTAATACAAAACAACAGATTTGGGTCTGACTTTCTCTTACGATGAATGATGTTTGAGAATAATATAGTAGTCTCAAAGGGGGTATGGACAGTCCCTACTTAGAATATGTAGTACATTAGACAAATACAGAACATATGTACAAAATTAGGCTACCAATACAATAAATGAAATTATGAAATAATACATGATTCTTGAGTGGATAGAATTAACATGGCAATAGTGGGGTTTTGCAGACAGTTTTGCCCAGTAGAGGAAGACAGAAGTTAAATCGGCATATTCACACCTACAGTTCAGACATGTCATGAATCATAATTAATACAATTACAAGCCTGATATCCCTGTAGTATTGAAAAGCAGGTCAAAAACTCGGTCTGACAATTAGAGATATATTTATTGCCCATATTCTTCTTTGCAAACACACACCCATAAGGTAGGCTGGTACCATTTATAACGTAGATCTTCTTGTATTGTTTTAATGCTTGTTAAATCGCAGGGCCGGTTCCAGGTATATGCGACATAAGCGGTCGCTTAGGGCCCCCGGCTGCTAGGTGTCCCCTGACCAATTATTACTAAAGAAATTTAGGAACTTAGTCGGGGTCTCAACTTACTATTGAGCGTTAGAATAGTAGAATACACCAGGTGCAATTTCAAAATGTGGTTGTGCATAGGGCTGGGCCGTATACCGTATTTTACGATATACCGGTATTGATGCACGGACCCGTTTGGGTTTTTACTTTACCTTCTGTAACGGTATTTGAATCTTTGGTTTGTTAAACGTGATACGCCGTGTGTAACGCACATTTGTATAGTTTACTTCGCTACTTGAGTCATCTCTCTCCGCTCTCTCCTTGCCACTTTCCACACAGACCTAGCCCCACCCCCCGTATTTGTTGTTGCTTGACCACAAGACACTTATGTTCGGTCTGCGTGGTCAATGCAGCGCATGCAACAATGTTGATGACAATGATGCTGTTTTCGCTTCTTAAATATAAATCCACAAGTGTTCTATAATTACACTATTAGTTTGTGTTTCTTACATCTGCAAACAGCCAGTTTGTCTTTTCTTAGCAAGTTGGGCCTAAATCTTGTTAGCCGCTAATGCTAATCGCTAGTTAGCTAGCTAGCTAATAAACATACAGAGTCAGAGCAAACGTAATTAGCTATACAGCCTGATAATACCAGTGACAGTGTCTTCTAAATCAAAGAGGAATACGCAAAGCATGAATATGTTAGCTACATGAAGTAGCTAAGAGAAAACATTAAATGTAGCCAAAGATTATAGGGTCCCCTAGGAAACACTTTAGTTCCTACCCTGTCACAATAACTCCTCCCTGGCATTTTTATTCGTTGTCATGTCAAACAACACTGTATTCAAAGTGACCACTATTACAGTATATTCTAACTATAGAATTAGAATAATCATTCTATTTCCAACAGTTTACCCAAGTGTTTTTCTCTAAATCACAAGTCAAATCGCAATTGCAACATTTGGTTAAATATACAAATGATTTTAAATTAGTGCAGGAAATGCAGACATTTATGAAAATGCTGAAAAGTATTATCTACTCATAAAGCAAATGTAGAACTTTTATTAATCAAAAACATAAAATACTGTAAAATACTGTCATACCGTCCATTTTTCCCCCCATGCCGTGACATGATATTTTGGCCATATCACACAGCCTTAGTTGTGCATCATTAGTTGTTCTCTTGTTATGTCTGTCACTGATAGTCACTCAATTAGCCATGTCAGCTAACAATTGGTAGATTGGTAGTTAGCTGGCTAGACTATCTAACCTTGTAATAATCATGACCTAATACTGACCATGCCCAGGGGCCTTGAACTCCAGGGGGCCCCCATTTATTTTGTTAGTCATTCTCACTCAGATCATATAAGCATGGCATAAGTCATTAAGAAATGTGTAGACTTGCAGGAAATTAGCTTTAAAGAAGGGGGCCACTAAAATGTTTTGCCAAGGAGGTGGCAAACGATTAAGTGCACTACGTTTAACCAAAGCCCTATGGCTATGGTTACTAGTGTTGGGCCAGTAACCAAAAGGTTGCTGGTTTGATTCCCTGAGCTGACTAAGTGAATAACCCTTGAGCAAGGCACTTAAACCTAATTGTTCCAGTATGTCTGTTAAGATGTAGGTGTGCCCTCCCCCCACCACCAAATCTCGCTTAGGGCACCCAAAAGGCTAGAGCCACCTCTGGCTAATGTGTAATAGTTTGTGAGGCAGGTTCTCTTTTGAACTACCTGGGTCGCTGGCGTCGCCAGTCCTGCCACGTCTAGCCTCTCACCTCCTGCTCCCTTTATCAGTTTTATGACTCCGCTTATCACACCCTGCACCATAAATATAGCCTAGCCTAGGCAACTTGAGGTGAATAACAGCTGCGTAAATCGCCAATCACCACACCATGGACGCGCCTAATGAGTCTGAAACGTCAGTTAGAACAATTTAATTAAAACGCGTTTTACATGTTTATCTTAATCTGTGATGCGGGTCGATGTCCAGTGCTTTGAACCAGTCCGTTGGATAATACACATCACTCAATCAACGTGTACTGACTGTAGTGTAGGTAGTGTATTGTATATTAGCCCCAGAAAATCCCCAATGTCCCACTACTATTATTTTATATTCCTGTTTGTATGCAATCAATGTAAAGCCTGTCTGTCTGTGTGAGCCATCCGCACTGACCCTGATCATTAGCGACAGCTGAGTGAGTCCTGAGAGGAAGACAACATGGAATACCTGTGCGAAAAGGTGAGCACATTACTGGGCTATATTAGCCTACTTATTTGATATCATTTTAAGTTATCAACATGCGATGCCCCTTTTGAGTTGTAGTGATGATTTATCAACTTGTAATGAATTTAAATAATAGCCTATCGACTCATTCACGATCAATATTGATTGATTTATTTCGCAATGAGCTTCTGTTTGTGTTTTGATTAAGTTTCGATGTTTATATAGGCTTGTAGCATCAATGTAAAATAACGCCCAGATTGATGGACTATTGTTTTACAGGTTGTTATGAACCCATAAAGCCAGTAGCGGCAAAGCCTATTTGTAGGTGTCTACAGACAGAAATGGGTTGAGATCAGCCATCAAAGATAATCGTTTAATCGCCTTTTATTTTTCTCGGCTAGGTGTGGGAAATGTAGCTTTCAGCTACAGTGGAACGGCCAAGTGGCCGATATCTAATTAGTCCGGATTATCGTCACCTGCGCGCGCCTATATTGTCCTACAAAGACTTTGCTATTGTCTGACCGTGGAGTGAGAAGTTGTTTTAGGGGATTTTGAGTGACTTATAGAGGATTTAACATGCCCCAGTGATCTGATTGAAATGGAAACTATAGGCTAGGCCAATGGTAATCAATAGTGATCACAGGTTAGGCTAATCTTTCTCATATCAAATCCGATATGAATGTGAATTAGGCCTAATAGAAACTGGCAGATGATGACCGGTGATTTGAAATAAGACAAAACTGCATCAAATCATGTCAGTGAATATCAAGTTTACCCATCATTCAGACACTCATGGCAAATTTGTTAACATATATTTAATTTAGAGGATTGAAATGAATGTTTTTTTGTTTCAACAGTAGGCCTAGGCTATTTAAAATATAGAGTATTGTCAAAAATATTGCATTTCTTACAAATGGCCTACATTGTCTCTCTCATTTCGTTTTACATCCCCATCCTCTCCTTAAATTCCAGACTATTTTCACACCGACTTCGTTCCCATGGAATCGGCTATTATCTTATTATCGCGGCGGTGCCAATGTCGCCGATGTGTGAGGCTTTATTTACATGACTCTTAGCGAACGGTGCTGAATGAATTTATGACTTTGTAGTCACCCAGTCCCTCCCGAGACCGCAGTGTTATTTCCCCAAGAACAGAGCTCCTACCAGGTCAGACAGACAGACAGGGCGGGAGACTCCCTAGGGGATGAAGTCAGTATAGGGGACACACACATATTCAGTCTGATTATAAATACTATATGTATTATTGCTAAATAAATATATTATGTCATATTATGACATCTAATAAGTTGGTATAGAGAAAAGGCCTACCCTGAAGAGCCAAGTGTATGCATGTGGGGACAATATACTCTGTGTAGGCCGATTGTAGTGTATTTTGAATGGAAATATAGGCTATGTTCCTACACAATATATCCGTGTATATCCAGGTAAAAGACAGCGACTAAAATGCACACATTTAAATGTTGCGCCAACAACCATATAGTGTTGTTTGGGATGTGTATCCATGCAAGGGCCCATTTCACATCCAGAAATGGCTGCACGTTTAGGCTACACAACCTCGTTGAATGTGTATTGTAGGCCTATAGATCCGAACCCAATATAGTTAATACTAATCATGCTACTACTACTACTACCACTAATAATAATAATCAACTCTGCAATTTAGCACTTGATACACTTATTCGTGGGAAAAGTCTATAAAGAGTTACCCCTGGGAAATGGAATGAATGGATGGATGGATGGGGGCTGTTAAAACTGTGTCTGTGCTGAAGCTTTGAAGTGCAGTTATGCACCGACGTGTTTCCTATGTCTCTATATAACACGGCATTCAATGACATGGTTGGCGCATTTTCACAGTGAAACGTTACCAACAGAACAAATCTGTCAATCAAACACAACGACACTATAAATGTCTTTACGGTCCAGTCACAGAGCTCAGTTGCATCTAGCCTACTCTTTCTCTCTCTCTTTCTCTGACCGCCCGCCTCAGTATTTCCGCTTGGGATACTCCACGGAGGCCGTTGTTTTGGACGCAGAAGACTCATTAGCTGCCATGGGACCGTGCCAACTGCTGACATCACTGGTCCTGTCCATGTGTTGTCATGTTCTGTACGCTACCGCATGGTAGGCTTTTTACCTGTTGTCGTTGGCATTTCATCAGTTATGCCACGACCAGTTATATAGGCAATGGGGTGGGAAAAATCGGTTTACACGATGGCACTATTACCATGTCTTGACTGTGTTTGGTTTCTGTTTTCCATAGGTCGGTGAATAACTTCCTGATGACTGGACCAAAGGTAACGGATCTTTATTTACTTATTGGGCTCGTGTACTTAGACTGCTTGGTTAAAATAGCCCTTACGGATTCAGGTACAAAAGGAATATCACGTTGCAAATGTTTTCGCTGCAACTTAACGGGAAATGTGTTTTCTAATAAAAACAAAAGAATAGCTCAAACAAGGAGGCCAAGCTGGAAAACACATTAAATGTTTGGTCCAATACTTATAACGAACGAGAACCTGTGATTTACACTGTCTCTTTATCCGTGTGCCCCTCCAGGCCTATCTGACGTATGCCAGTAGCGTGCAGGTGGGCGCGCAGAGCGGGATTCAGGAATGCAAACACCAGTTCGCGTGGGACAGGTGGAACTGCCCGGAGAGCGCGCTCCAACTGTCAACTCATGGACTGCGCAGTGGTGAGAATAGATTTATACTTACCAGGCAGCGCTCTATAGGCTGCCTAATCCCTCGAAATAAAAACTTTCCAATGGCAAATAGACTAGGCTTGTAGTGAGTCGGTCTAAGGAAATTACACATAGCAATTTACAAGAGTCTGATATTTACCAATGTCATCACACTGACCGTGTGTTAACTTTAACCATAACATTGACAACCATGATCTCTTTAAATTCCAGCCACAAGAGAGACGTCTTTCGTCCACGCCATCAGTGCTGCAGGGGTGATGTACACTCTCACCAAGAACTGTAGTATGGGGGATTTTGATAACTGTGGATGTGATGACTCCAATATTGGACAGATAGGTGAGTTTATATACCATTACCATCTGACTTTATAACATTGAGTGTAGCAACCTATTTGAATTATGTGACCATGTATTATATTCTCAAATAACAGAATTGCACACATTTACACCATTACGCACAGAACCAAAAATGGGCAGAATTACACATAGAAGACATCACTGAAATTCCACAGAAGTAAGGGCAGTAATACTTGGACATGGACATACTTACATAGACTAACCCTGCCGTATCTCTCTCCAGGTGGTAGGGGTTGGATCTGGGGGGGCTGCAGTGATAACGTGAAATTTGGGGAGAAGATGTCCAAACAGTTTGTGGACGCGCTGGAGAACGGCCACGACTCACGCGCAGCTGTGAACCTGCACAACAATGAAGCTGGTAGACTGGTGAGTGACAGATCTCATACAGGCTATACTGCCGGTGGTGATCTCATACAGGCTATACTGCCGGTGGTGATCTCATACAGGCTATACTGCCGGTGGTGATCTCATACAGGCTATACTGCCGGTGGTAGGCCTATATGGGTTTACTGTTTGTTTAAATTATGTTATTTCCTTGGAATGTTTTGTACATTTGCGGGCAGATGTCATCTGTTTGGACTGGATAACTATTTTGGTTATCATTTGGATTCGTTGTTGTGGAGTTTTCGTTATTTTCAGCCTATCAGATCGAACATAAATTTACAAATGAACTGGTGTGAGGTATTATTGAATACATAACTGACTGAAGCTCTCTCTAGGCGATCAAGGCGACCATGAAGCGAGCCTGTAAGTGCCACGGCGTCTCTGGGAGCTGCTCCGTCCAGACCTGTTGGATGCAGTTGTCTGACTTCAGAGACATCGGCAACTACCTCAAAGTCAAACACGACCAGGCGCAAAAACTGGAGATGGACAAGAGGCGGATGAGGTCCGGGAACAGCGCCGACAACAGGGGCGCCATCGCGGACGCTTTCAGCAGCATCGCCCGGACAGAGCTCATTTACCTGGAGGAATCTCCAGACTACTGTACCAAGAACAAGAGCCTGGGGCTCCAGGGCACCGAGGGGAGGGAGTGTCTGCAGGGGGAAAATAACCTCTCCCAGTGGGAGAGGAGGAGTTGCCGCCGGCTGTGCCATGAGTGCGGCCTGAGGGTGGAGGAGAGGCGGATTGAGATAGTCAGCAGCTGTAACTGTAAATTCCACTGGTGCTGCACGGTCAAGTGCGAGCGGTGCACGCAGGTCGTGACCAAATACTACTGCGCGCGCAGGGACAGGGGGCGCAGGCCTCAGAAGGGCACGAGGAAAAGTGGGAGAAGGCACCGCGTGCAGCGCAGTTGATTTGCGCCTGCACAGACTGTGGCTATCTATGCATGAGGATAATTATGAAGGGGACAGTTTATTTTCATATTCGTTATTTAAACATGTTTTATTAGTTAATTTAATCCATATTCATCTGTCTGGGATTGTATGAATTGTATGATGTTACCCAAATATTTGACACGTGATTTCTCCTGTAACTTGTTCATGATCAACATGTATTCTCATCCATTCCACATCGGGTGACAGACTATTTCCACTTTTGTCCCTTATTTAAAATGCACTTTATAGGCTCTAACATTTTGACAATCCAATAGATTTATGATATGTTCTAAAAAAAATTTTAAAAAATCATTCCTGTGATAAATGTGTATTTATCATCACAATGTTATTTTGTTCATGCTCGTTTAAGTTTACTTGTCACTTTGGGGGTGTATGCAGATAAATATAGTTGTCTAAATGGGTTAGAGGCCTGTGTGTAAATTCGGTTTGTCCATTTTTTATATAAATTATGAAATTGTTTTAAGTGTCATTATCACGTTATGTTTTATTTTTGTACTGGGAATTGCAAATTAAATATTTGAATCTTATTTCGAGTCCTGTTCTGAATGTACATCCTGTGCCGACGAAGTTTGTTGCTTTTAATGTTCTGATTCGGCAGTCTGTTTTTGTTTATTGGTGGTGTTGAGGGCGAGGTCTCCACGGGAGGCCAGGATCATCTCATTAATCTGGCCGCTGGTGTCATCGCCTGAGGGAAGAAAATAAACTGTCTTGTCCTGACACCCTTTGAAGTTCTCAATAGGCGTTTCCTCCAGTCTTATGTGGCCATTGTCCAATCAGCATCCTCGGAACACCGAGACAAAGGACAAGGTACCCATTTGTTTCTGATTCCTTCTCTTAAATTAAAGGCGAAAGCTGCGTGTCCTCATCACATGCCCAGATCTCTCCCTTAGGGTTGGAGGTAAAAACACTCACAATGGTCTTCTGTTCGTTCCTTTGTCTCCTGGTACTTTTCCTTCTCCACAACACTCTTATTGGACATGCCTGGTAAGACCCCACTTCTAACACATTTGATTTATAACGTCTTTAGTTTTCATTTAGCTAGTGTCTCGGTTTTAAAAGGTTGTTTCAGGCTATATTTTCTCTCTTTTAGGGCCGTGAACAATTTTCTTATGACTGGACCCAAGGTAAGATTTTTATTCGAATTGTTTGCTTTATAAGTAACCTTAGGGAAAACAAGTGTTCCAAACTATTATGCAAAGATTCCCAAAAGGTACTCCTGGCATCATGAGTGCACAAAACATTTGTCTATTTCAATAGGATCGTTTCAGTACTGCGTAATGATGGACGAATGCATAACCTGCTTTAATAGCATTTTTCATCACAACTCAATGCGTATTCAATAGTAGAAAGGTATTCATCTCATCCAAATGTCACTTGGATTATTCTTTTTTAGTTTTGAGGATATTCAATTGTGGATTTAACATGCTCTCTCTTATCTCCAGGCCTATCTGACGTATGCCAGTAGCGTGCAAGTGGGCGCTCAGAGCGGGATCCAGGAATGTAAACACCAGTTTGCGTGGGACAGGTGGAACTGCCCGGAGAGCGCGCTCCAACTGTCTACTCACAAAGGCCTTCGCTGCGGTAGAATGTCTCAGAATACATAGCCTACTGTAGCATTTACGTCTGAGAATGCAAGTCTCTGTTGCCTATGTTACAAACAGAGCTTTGATACCCAATGAGTAAAATCTAATGCATAGAATGTAATATGTATGCGAGTTGTGAAGCCCTTACGCCGTGATTACATCTACAGTGTTTATGCGTTTTGGTTCACCAGAAGTACATTCATTTCCAACGGAACGCTGCGGTTGCCTTGCAGCACTGCGTTGCAGAGGCAGTTGCAGTGCGTTCTGTGTGGTGCATACATTGGATAAATCGAACGTATGCGTTGATGGCTTGACAGAAATGGTAGCAGAAGGTAAATGTTGAACTTCTGTTGCACACATATCCAGATTATGCAGCGAACCATTTTACACAATGACGCTGTAGGTGTGTTCGAGGCTATGGCTACACCATGCATACAATTAATTTATATTTACCTGACATTGTGTAAAAGTGAAATATTTGAGTACATATTTATATGTTCGATGTCTATCTATTCCTGTAGCCACGAGTGAGACCTCTTTTGTGCACGCGATCAGCGCAGCTGGTGTGATGTACACACTGACCCGCAACTGTAGCCTCGGGGACCTGGACAACTGCGGCTGTGATGGCTCGAGAAACGGTCAAATCGGTAACACACACAACAATGAGAGAGTAGACCTGAATAAGAAAGTGATAATATTCTTGCATCCTGCTATGTGTGCCCATACTCATGTTTTTGCTTGTCTCCTGTCCCCAGGGGGGCGTGGGTGGTTGTGGGGTGGCTGCAGCGATAACTTGGACTTTGGGGAAAGGATGTCAAAACAGTACGTGGACGCGCTTGAGACGGGCCAGGACTCACGGGCGGCTGTCAACCTTCATAACAACGAGGCGGGTAGACTGGTGAGTTATTTCGTTCCAGACTCCTGCATGGAGAGCTATGGCATTACGCATGGGTTGACCATGGTATTACCCATTAGTTAATCTTATTATTACACATGAATTGGCCATGTTATGACGCATTGGTTGTGTGCTTTCATTCAATCACACTTTTTAGTTATTACCCACTATAACCCCTGTGTCTGTTGAGCAGGCGGTGAAGGCCACCATGAAGCGCATCTGCAGGTGCCACGGTATGTCTGAAAGTTGCTCCGTTCAGACCTGCTGGATGCAGTTGTCTGACTTCAGAGACATCGGCAACTACCTCAAAATCAAACACGACCAGGCGCAGAAACTGGAGATGGACAAGAGGCGGATGAGGTCCGGGAACAGCGCCGACAACAGGGGCGCCATTGCGGACGCGTTCAGCAGCATCGCCCGGACGGAGCTCATTTACCTGGAGGAATCTCCGGACTACTGCGGTCAGAACGTCAGCCTGGGCCTTCACGGTACTGAGGGCAGGGAGTGCCTGCAGCACAGCGAGGGCTTGAACCAGTGGCAGAAGAGGAGCTGCCGCAGACTGTGCCATGAGTGCGGCCTGAGGGTGGAGGAGAGGAGGACTGAGATAGTCAGCAGCTGTAACTGTAAGTTCCAATGGTGCTGCACGGTCAAGTGTGAGAACTGCTCTCAAGTGATGGTCAAACACGTGTGTGCCAGAAGAGAGGGAGGCCACGGACACAACTACAGAAGGAGATACCGAGGACCTAAATGATTGAAAAGAGACAGGGCTATAGCGTTATTCTATGCAAACTATTATGATGGCAAATGTAAAATCATGAGCATATGTGTGTCAGCTTATTTAGAATCTATCTTTATTCACAAAGACTGTCCTCCACTCCACGTGATTATGTGAAACGTTGTTCTGCACTTTCCCACCTCACCTGACCACGTTTGTCTTATTGTAGGCCTATATGGATGTAAATTATATATTTATGTATGTGAGTCATTGGATATATTTAATAAACAAATATAAAATATACTTGGTTGTTTTTGCTTCTCAATAATTATTTATGGAACTACATACAAATCTTCTGATGAATAAACAGTTAAGAAACATTTATTTTTGCTCAATGACTGCATTTTTATCCTTCTGCATAACAAATTATATAACATGAAAATAACATGAAATTCACTTAGTAAAATAATAGGTGAATAGGAAGGCAGCGGTGAATACATTAGAAGGGGTTGTGTATCTCAGTTGGTAGAGCATGGCGTTTGCAACGCCAGGGTTGTGGGTTCGATTCCCACGGGGGGGGCAGTATGAAAATGTATGCACTCACTAACTGTAAGTCGCTCTGGATAAGAGCGTCTGCTGAATGACTAAAATGTAAAGTAAATTATTACTCAGCTGGTAGAGCACGGCGCTTGTAACGCCAAGGTAGTGGGTTCGATCCCCGGGACCACCCATACACAAAAAAAATAAAAATAAAAATGTATGCACGCATGACTGTAATTCGCTTTGGATAAAAGCGTTTGCTAAATGGCATATTTTTTAAAATATTTAATTACCATGTAGCGGTTCACACCTCGACCAAGGCCCAGCTTCAGCGTTGATTTAACCGCACTTTGATATGATGGCATGTTTAAGGATTGGAATGAGGATCAAGCCTTTTGAAGGAAACTGAAAGGAAGCCTCTTTACCGGTATGTTTATATGTGTTTGCCATGGTAATCCGGGACACTGCTGTGACCGTGTACTTTGTCACACTTGAAAAGCCAGTGCAACTGCATCACAATAAATCAAAGCGGAACGCTACATTGTAAAGACAAGACTATGGGAAGGAATGCATCTCAACATATTTAATTGTAGCCAATTATGAAAGATTGCCTGTCAGCATTTTGCGTAACGTAGCCAAATGTGTAATGAAGTAATCTTCACTTAAAAGCTGCACTCCATCTTTTGGATAGTATGAACGCTAGTCTGCTACAAAAAGTGGAAGGTAGTTATCGCCCACGTGTTTCAGGAACATTTCAATTTTACCTAATGAAATTATTGGAAGGACATTGTTTGGATTGGCTATGAGCATACTACTATGATGCGTTCTATTTGTTGCAATGATTTTCTGTGCCACTAAAGTAAATCTAACGGTTTTCAGAGGATAGAGAGAGAGCATTACCAGGAGAAAGCAAGCATAATACTATTCCATTGTCTCTCTCCTCTCTCCTGTAGATCACTCATTCATCCCCTCCACCCTCCCCTGTTTCTCCCTCTCTGCTGGACATGCCATAAACCTGCCACTGGGTTCCTGATCAGTGGCTGATGTCAAGGATATTACCCCACCCAGGGGTCCTGCCTCAGAGAGGAGAGGAGAGGGAGGTCTGGCTGATGAGAGGGAGAGAGAGTGGGACAGGGAGGGGCAGTGTAGTTGTGGAGAGGGAGGTCTGGCTGTGGGAGGTGAAGAGGGGGAGAGAAGATATAGATAATGATATAGGAGGAGGCATGCTTTCAATAGTGACTACCCCCACTCATGAAATGTGTTCCATTGAGACTTAATCAACCTATTAGGGACATATAACATGTAAATTAAGTAATTGTTGTAGGCTATACCCTGTGTTTTGTGCATCATGTGACATAGCAAGATTGTATCCTGTATTTTAAGCCTTATCCATAAATAGGAATTACACCAAAAATGTAATGAATTGTCTGAGGTGGTGCTGGACCATCTGACATCTCTGTGTGACATCTGTGACACGTTGTGACACAGAGAAGACCTGCTGAGGCCCTGGGAGTCAACCAACCAACATACTGTAACACTGTTCTCTAGAGGCCCTGAGGGTCAACCAACACACTGTAACACTGTTCTCTAGAGGCCCTGAGGGTCAACCAACCAACACACCGTAACACTGTTCTCTAGAGGCCCTGAGGGTCAACCAACCAACACACTGTAACACTGTTCTTTAGTGGCCCTGGGGGTCAACCAACCAACACACGGTAACACTGTTCTTTAGAGGCCCTGAGGGTCAACCAACCAACATACTGTAACACTGTTCTCTAGAGGCCCTGAGGGTCAACCAACCAACATACTGTAACACTGTTCTCTAGAGGCCCTGAGGGTCAACCAACCAACACATTGTAACACTGTTCTCTAGAGGCCCTGGGGGTCAACCAACACACCGTAACACTGTTCTCTAGAGGCCCTGAGGGTCAACCAACCAACACACCGTAACACTGTTCTCTAGAGGCCCAGAGGGTCAACCAACCAACATACCGTAACACTGTTCTCTAGAGGCCCTGAGGGTCAACCAACCAACATACTGTAACACTGTTCTCTAGAGGCCCTGAGGGTCAACCAACCAACACACTAACACTGTTCTCTAGAGGCCCTGAGGGTCAACCAACCAACACACTAACACTGTTCTCTAGAGGCCCTGAGGGTCAACCAACCAACACACTAACACTGTTCTCTAGAGGCCCAGAGGGTCAACCAACCAACATACTGTAACACTGTTCTCTAGAGGCCCTGAGGGTCAACCAACCAACACACTAACACTGTTCTCTAGAGGCCCTGAGGGTCAACCAACCAACACACTAACACTGTTCTCTAGAGGCCCTGAGGGTCAACCAACCAACACACCGTAACACTGTTCTCTAGAGGCCCTGAGAGTCAACCAACCAACACACTGTAACACTGTTCTTTAGAGGCCCTGAGGGTCAACCAACCAACATACTGTAACACTGTTCTCTAGAGGCCCTGAGGGTCAACCAACCAACATACTGTAACACTGTTCTCTAGAGGCCCTGAGGGTCAACCAACCAACACATTGTAACACTGTTCTCTAGAGGCCCTGGGGGTCAACCAACACACCGTAACACTGTTCTCTAGAGGCCCTGAGAGTCAACCAACCAACATACTGTAACACTGTTCTCTAGAGGCCCTGAGGGTCAACCAACCAACACACTAACACTGTTCTCTAGAGGCCCTGGGGGTCAACCAACCAACACACTAACACTGTTCTCTAGAGGCCCTGGGGGTCAACCAACACACTGTAACACTGTTCTCTAGAGGCCCTGAGGGTCAACCAACTAACACACTGTAACACTGTTCTCTAGAGGCCCTGAGGGTCAACCAACCAACACACTAACACTGTTCTCTAGAGGCCCTGAGGGTCAACCAACCAACATACCGTAACACTGTTCTCTAGAGGCCCTGAGGGTCAACCAACCAACACATTGTAACACTGTTCTCTAGAGGCCCTGGGGGTCAACCAACACACCGTAACACTGTTCTCTAGAGGCCCTGAGAGTCAACCAACCAACACACTGTAACACTGTTCTCTAGAGGCCCTGAGGGTCAACCAACCAACACACTAACACTGTTCTCTAGAGGCCCTGGGGGTCAACCAACCAACACACTAACACTGTTCTCTAGAGGCCCTGGGGATCAACCAACACACTGTAACACTGTTCTCTAGAGGCCCTGAGGGTCAACCAACTAACACACTGTAACACTGTTCTCTAGAGGCCCTGAGGGTCAACCAACCAACACACTAACACTGTTCTCTAGAGGCCCTGAGGGTCAACCAACCAACATACTGTAACACTGTTCTCTAGAGGCCCTGAGGGTCAACCAACCAACATACTGTAACACTGTTCTCTAGAGGCCCTGAGGGTCAACCAACCAACACATTGTAACACTGTTCTCTAGAGGCCCTGGGGGTCAACCAACATACTGTAACACTGTTCTCTAGAGGCCCTGAGGGTCAACCAACCAACATACTGTAACACTGTTCTCTAGAGGCCCTGAGGGTCAACCAACCAACATACTGTAACACTGTTCTCTAGAGGCCCTGAGGGTCAACCAACCAACACATTGTAACACTGTTCTCTAGAGGCCCTGGGGGTCAACCAACACACCGTAACACTGTTCTCTAGAAGCCCTGAGGGTCAACCAACCAACATACTGTAACACTGTTCTCTAGAGGCCCTGGGGGTCAACCAACCAACACACTTTAGCACTGTTCTCTAGAGGCCCTGGGGGTCAACCAACCAACACACTTTAGCACTGTTCTCTAGAGACCCTGGGGGTCAACCAACACACTGTAGCACTGTTCTCTAGAGGCCCACATAGGTTTCACACACCTTATTTCCTATATAGTGCACTACTTTTAACCAGAGATGGGCCCTGGTTAAATGCAGTTCATGGTATGGGTAATAGGGTGCCATTCAGCAGCAGCCTCTGTGTGAAGGAATGTCTCTCAATATGGTGGAGCCTGGAGGATGGGGGGCAGCCTTTGTTAGGACCCCCCAGGGGTACGGCTGTATTCATACCCAGACAGCCCTGCATGCCTGGGGGTTCAATGATCAGCCTTCCCCCCTCTATCCCCTCCTCTCTCACCTTGGTGTGACATACCAGACTCAGCAGTGGGCTGCATGTTGGGCTGGCTATCTGTGCCATCACAACAGTCTGCAGGCTTGGTCCCTGTAGATAGAAATGCAGTAAAATAGATATTCCAATTTAAATACTATGATCCAAGTGGGACATTCGGCCACCATATTGGAGTGTGAAGAATATAATGTGGGGTTTAGAGCTACATTCATCTGTTATTTTATTTCTATGCGTTTGGTTTTCAAACACAGGCAAATCAAATCAAACAGGCTGATTAAGACATGAAATACTGGAAACAGGCTGAATAAGACATGAAACACAGGAAACAGGCTGAATAAGACATCAAATACTGGAAACAGGCTGAATAAGACATGAAACACAGAAAACAGGCTGAATAAGACATCAAATATTGGAAACAGGCTGAATAAGACATCATTGGAGCCATAGCCTGCGTTTAGACAGTCAGCCCAATTCTGAACTTTTTCCCACTAATTGGTCTTTTGACCAATCACATCAGATCTTTTCACACCTTATCTTTTTCAGAGCTCATCCGATTGGTTAAAAAATATCACAATTGGACTGCCTGTCTAAACGCAGCCATAGAGACTCAGGACACAATCACATATCTAATAATCACTGTTGCTGGGCAGATATTAAACTCAACTTACTATATAGTAATAGAGGCACAAACTGTCTTTCTGTCCCTAAACAATCTTACAAGAGGAGGGTACAATGAGAGTGAGACTAGCAACTGTAGCTAGGTCTCTGTGTTCGATGACACATATTAGTCTGAAATGTAATGTTAGATCTAAGCAGGCTGAGTTACTACACATGGCACCCAGTCTGATGCAGAAGGAGAGGACCATATGATAAAGGACCAGATCAGAGTCAATTATAATGACCTTAGACCTGGTTTACGACATATTGATATTACAGATGATCTTCTATAACCCTTAAAGTCACATGGTAGTTATACATTTAGCCACTCATCATCAGCTTCTAAGTATAGAGAAGGCCCGTCTATAGGCCTACACAGTGAAGCAGGCTAGCTCTTGGTTTGCGTCCCAAATGGCACCCTATTCGCTATATAGTGCACTACTTCGACCAGGGCCGATAGAGGGCCATTTGGGACGCACTCCCTCTCCTCTTCTTCCTCTGTGGCCTATAAAACTTACTATTTTGACTGCCTGTGACAGGATAGGCAGGGGGTGACAAACTGAAGTCCACACTGCCTCCTCCACTGAACTCACATTTACAGAGACACCAGAGAGGCCTGTAGAAACAGTACCATTGCCAGTTAACTAATGCTAAGTATTTATCTATCCACTTATATGGCTAACAGGATGAGCATGGTGTAGCAGCTAAGGACTAACACAAGACTAACAAGGGGAGACTTACTGTTAACTCCCGTCCACATTCACTGAGGTGGATCTGATTCCCTTGTGTGGATTGTCTAGGAGGAAAGCCCTGGAAATTACTCACACTTGAGAAAAGCCTTGGACTTTACTAAAAACTGTGGATCTTACTAAGAGAAGAGCCTTGGACTTTACCAACAGAAGAGCCTTGGACTTTACCAACAGAAGAGCCTTGGACTTTACCAACAGAAGAGCATTGGACTTTACCAACAAAAGAGCCTTGGACTTTACCAACAAAAGAGCCCTGGACTTTACCAACAGAAGAGCCTTGGACTTTACCAACAAAAGAGCCTTGGACTTTACCAACAAAAGAGCCTTGGACTTTACCAACAAAAGAGCCTTGGACTTTACCAACAGAAGAGCCTTGGACTTTACCAACAGAAGAGCCTTGGACTTTACCAACAGAAGAGCCTTGGACTTTACCAACAGAAGAGCCTTGGACTTTATCAACAGAAGAGCCTTGGACTTTACCAACAGAAGAGCCTTGGACTTTAGCAACAGAAGAGCCTCAGATCAAGGAGAAGAGATTTGGACTCAAGGCTTACGAAGACTCGAGGAAAGCTTTGGACAGAAGACGAAGATGACAATGTATGGTCTGTGTTCTTCTGTAGATAATGCATCTCTTAACATCAGTGGTTCATCAGAATTACAATTCCCATCTTTCTTTTTATTTTGGTTTAGAACTGAATTGCCCATATGAGTGCCAGCAGTTAATATGAGACAGATCAGGGCCTGTATGATGCCTCTCAGAGTAGGACTGCTGATCTAGGACCAGTTTCTCCCGGTCCATTCATTATAATCTAAAAGCCAAAACTGGTCCTGGATCAGCACTCAGGCACTTTATGAATACAGACCCAGCTCATTTGCATGCATTATGAAATTGAGTGTGAGCTCTGTCCTGATGTGTGATGTTCTCAGCTGAGGCTGTCCAGTTGTGACAAAGTGGTGATGAAGACCAGCACGACTGGGGCATGCTTTCTGGTAAGAGTGTGTGTGTCAGTGTTATAATACTCGAGACCGGTCTCGAGACCATATATTGAGTATCTCGGTCTTGTCTCGGTGTTGGATACATTGGTATAACAAACCAAACAGATGCCTCACATGTCCTCAACTGGCAGCTTCATTAAATAGTACCTGCAAAACACCAGTCTCAACGTCAACAGTGAAGAGGTGACTCTGGGATGCTGACCTTCTAGGCAGAGTTGCAAAGAAAAAGCCATATCTCAGACTGGCCAATAAAAATAAACGATTAAGATGGACAAAAGAACACAGACACTGGACCTTTTCTTTGCAACTCTGCCTAGAAGGTCACATCCCGTAGACGCCTCTTCACTGTTGACGTTGAGACTGGTGTTTGTGCGGGTACTATTTAATGAAGCTGCCAGTTGAGGACCTGTGAGGCATCTGTTTCTCAAACTAGACGTTCTAATGTATCTGTCCTCTTGCTCAGTTATGCACCGGGGCCTCCCACTCCTCTTTCTATTCTGGTTAGAGCCAGTTTGCGCTGTTCTGTGAAGGGAGTAGTACACAGCGTTGTACGAGATCTTCAGTTTCTTGGCAATTTCTCGCACGGAATAGCCTTCATTTCTCAGAACAAGAATAGACTGACGAGTTTCAGAAGAAAGTTATTTGTTTCTGGCCATTTTGAGCCTGTAATCGAACCCACAATTGCTGATGCTCCAGATACTCAACTAGTCTCAAGAGTGCCAGTTTTATTGCTTCTTTAATCAGCACAACAGTTTTCAGCTGTGCTAACATAATTGCAAAAGTGTTTTCTAATGATCAATTAGCCTTTTAAAATGATAAACTTGGATTAGCAAACACAACGTGCCATTGGAACACAGGACTGATGGTTGCTGATAATGGGCCTCTGTACGCCAATGTAGATATTCCATAAAAAATCTGCCGTTTCCAGCTACAATAGCCATTTACAACATTAACAATGTCTACATTGTATTTCTGATCAATTTGATGTTATTTTAATGGACCAAAAAATTGATTTTCTTTCGAAAACAAGGACATTTCTAAGTGACCCCAAACTTTTGAACGGTAGTGTATGTAGCAAGCTAAAAACACGGAGCCTAACGTTAGCTAGATAGCTAGCTGCTAGCAGGATGTCATGTCATGCCATTGGAGGAGTGGGTGAGTGAATTACTTTTTCCCCTCATATTATTTTTCGGTGGCTTTACACAGCTAGAGATGCAGCTGTCATTTGGTTAGCTAGCAAGAACTTGAATGACTGTTATCCAGTTAGCATACAGTGGGGGAAAAAAGTATTTAGTCAGCCACCAATTGTGCAAGTTCTCCCACTTAAAAAGATGAGAGAGACCTGTAATTTTCATCATAGGGACACGTCAACTATGACAGACAAATTGAGAAAAAAAATCCAGAAAATCACATTGTAGGATTTTTAATGAATTTATTTGCAAATTATGGTGGAAAATAAGTATTTGGTCACCTACAAACAAGCAAGATTTCTGGCTCTCACAGACCTGTAACTTCTTCTTTAAGAGGCTCCACTGTCCTCCACTCGTTACCTGTATTAATGGCACCTGTTTGAACTTGTTATCAGTATAAAAGACACCTGTCCAGGGACGGCTTGTTCAATAGGGCGATATGGGCGACGCACTGCCAAACGGGAAAAGGAAGGGATTTTTTTTCTAATCAATTATATCACGGCAACAGCAGTTATCAGTGTTCACGTCTGATCTGCCAGCCACTAAATGTCAAATCAGGCTAAAGTCGTGCTTCAAATGGCCCCGCCCGTTTTTGGGGCGATTTCAGTCAAGTTGAAAATCGCCCAGAAGTCTCTCATAGCCTGTCATGTAAAATCTATTTTTTTCACATTTCAAAGCTTTCAATACATTCTCTATGGGTGTCTGTGGGCTTGCACTTACGCGCTTTCGTCATACGTGACGTAACGTTGAACGTAACTAAGACAATGGCGGCTAGAAGCGTCTCTGTTGCGACCTGCAGTGCGGCGTTATTTTATGTTTTTAATTTGTAGACTTAGTTTACAAACATTCTGCCAACCATGGATTTCCAGTGGTTGGTTTTGGACTGATCTTGTTGATCGTGTACATACCCGCTACGAACGGACTAAATAATGAAAACGCTGCTGGCAGCTGAATCCCAATACAGCTGGGAGACTTGGCTGGATGAGTCCCGGACAGAGAAGTGGAGCCGGCCACCTTCACCCTGGTCAGAGCGGACCGCGATCCTGGTAAGAGAGCGACTCTGTACCCCGACATTGAACTGCTTTCTGTGTCATTGCGACCTTACTATCAATTCAATTCAATTTAAGGGCTTTATTGGCATGGGAAACGTGTGTTAACATTGCCAAAGCAAGGGAAGTAGATAGTAAACAAAAGTGAAATAAACAATAAATATTAACAGTAAACATTACACTCAGAAGTTTCAAAAGAATAAAGACATTTCAAATGTCATATTATGTATATATACAGTGTTGTTACAATGTGCAAATAGTTAAAGTACAAATGGGAAAATAAATAAACATAAATATGGGTTGTATTTACAATGGTGTTTGTTCTTCACTGGTTGCCCTTTTCTTGTGGCAACAGGTCACAAATCTTGCAGCTGTGATGGCACACTGTGGTTTTTCACCCAGTAGATAAGGGAGTTTATCAAAATTGGGTTTGTTTTCGAATTCTTTGTGGATCGCTGTAATCTGAGGGAAATATGTGTCTCTAATATGGTCATACATTTGGCAGGAGGTTAGGAAGTGCAGCTCAGTTTCCACCTCATTTTGTGGGCAGTGTGCACATAGCCTGTCTTCTCTTGAGAGCCAGGTCTGCCTACGGCGGCCTTTCTCAATAGCAAGGCTATGGTCACTGAGTCTGTACATAGTCAAAGCTTTCATTAAGTTTGGGTCAGTCACAGTGGTCAGGTATTCTGCCACTGTGTACTCTCTGTTTAGGGCCAAATAGCATTCTAGTTTGCTCTGTTTTTTGGTTTGTTCTTTCCAATGTGTCAAGTAATTCTCTTTTTGTTTTCTCATGATTTGGTTGGGTCTAATTGTGTTGTTGTTGTTGTTGTTGTTGTCCTGGGGCTGTGTGGGGTCTGTTTGTGTTTGTGAACAGAGGCCCAGGACAAGCTTACTTAGATGACTCTTCTCCAAGTTCATCTCTCTGTAGGTGATGGCTTTGTTATGGAAGGTTTGGGAATCGCTTCCTTTTAAGTGGTTACTATCTGCCCCGTGAGTTCCCCCAATTGTTTGTTACCGTTGTGTACTGTTGATAATCACAAGTTTACTGGAGAACTGAGACCAAGTAGAGACTTTGGACAGGGTGGATATGGTATAATAAAGGCAGTTTATTCAGAGGTAAAGATATCTGGAATCGCGTGCACGGACTCGTGCACGTGTGTAGGTCACCTAAATCATCAGAAAAATTGCCCCTCCTGAGAATTCTTTCAGGAGCCGCCACTGCACCTGTCCACAACCTCAAACAGTCACACTCCAAACTCCACTATGGCCAAGACCAAAGAGCTGTCAAAGGACACCAGAAACAAAATTGTAGACCTGCACCAGGCTGGGAAGACTGAATCTGCAATAGGTAAGCAGCTTGGTTTGAAGAAATCAACTGTGGGAGCAATTATTAGGAAATGGAAGACATACAAGACCACTGATAATCTCCCTCGATCTGGGGAACGCAAGATCTCACCCCGTAGGGTCAAAATGATCACAAGAACGGTGAGCAAAAATCCCAGAACCACACGGGGGGACCTAGTGAATGACCTGCAGAGAGCTGGGACCAAAGTAACAAAGCCTACCATCAGTAACACACTACGCCGCCAGGGACTCAAATCCTGCAGTGCCAGACGTGTCCCCCTGCTTAAGCCAGTACATGTCCAGGCCCATCTGAAGTTTGTTAGAGTGCATTTGGAGGATCCAGAAGAGGATTGGGAGAATGTCATATGGTCAGATGAAACCAAAATAGAACGTTTTGGTAAAAACTCAACTCGTAGTGTTTGGATGACAAAGAATGCTGAGTTGCATCCAAAGAACACCATACCTACTGTGAAGCATGGGGGTGGAAACATCATGCTTTGGGGCTGTTTTTCTGCAAAGGAACCAGGACGACTGATCCGTGTAAAGGAAAGAATGAATGGGGCCATGTATCGTGAGATTTTGAGTGAAACCTCCTTCCATCAGCAAGGGCATTGAAGATGAAACGTGGCTGGGTCTTTCAGCATGACAAACACACCGCCCGGGCAACGAAGGAGTGGCTTCGTAAGAAGCATTTCAAGGTCCTGGAGTGGCCTAGCCAGTCTCCAGATCTCAACCCCATAGAAAATCTTTGGAGGGAGTTGAAAGTCCGTGTTGCCCAGCGACAGCCCCAAAACATCACTGCTCTAGAGGAGATCTGCATGGAGGAATGGGCCAAAATACCAGCAACAGTGTGTGAAAACCTTGTGAAGACTTACAGAAATCGTTTGACCTGTGTCATTGCCAACAAAGGGTATATAACACAGTATTGAGAAACTTTTGTTATTGACCAAATACTTATTTTCCACCATAATTTGCAAATAAATTCATTAAATATCCTACAATATGATTTTCTGGATTTTTTTCCCTCATTTTGTCTGTCATAGTTGACGTGTACCTATGATGAAAATTACAGGCCTCTCTCATCTTTTTAAGTGGGAGAACTTGCACAATTGGTGGCTGACTAAATACTTTTTTCCGCCAATGTATCTCTTGCGTTCGCAAATTCACTCTGGCTATCTACTCTGATTTCAGAGCACTCTCGTCTGTGTGCTAGAGCGCAGAACAACTGATGACTTTACGAACGCTCAACACCCACTGAATATGACCGGTGTCAGTAAACTTAGGCAAAAAAAGTAGTAGTTAGTCAAAATCGCTCTAAATAACAAGTAAACAGCCTAACCAGCTCTGCTACGATGAGTAAAATGGTCAGAGTGACGTGTTCTCTCATTTGTGTCTGGAAGTAGCTCGCTAGCAAGCTAGCCAACTTTAGCCAGTTAGCTTGGATGCTTGGTTGGGACTAGCATTCATTGGCAGGCAAGCTGCAGAAGGACGAGGAGGCTACAATTCCCCATCGTTTATCAGTGCAATTTTGATGGCCAACTAGCTGAAAAAGTTTGAGAGGGTTTATCTAATGTTCCTTCGTTAGATTTGAGCTCATCTTGCTCTGGCTAGCATTAGTTGTTGATCTTGTTGTTGTTGATGTGCATAACTAGGGAGAGAGAGCCTACCTTTTTATTGTTGTTTGATCAATAGGACTGTAAAGTTCCCAAATGTAAGAGGACTCCCGTGGTGTTTACATACAGTATTTACAGAAATTCATTTGATGTATTTTGTGGCTTTTGGCGAATGCGTTCTAATGATCTAAAGTCGCGCTGTTGTAACTACCTGTAAACACACAGTCCAGTTCAAAGTGAATGATGGCAGGCCCGTGTGGCAAATGGCTTGTTTGTATAAAGGCCTACTGTAGCTCTGATTGGCTATAGCGCACCGGTCTGTGTAGACTCCGGTCCTGGACAAGACAGATGTTCTTATTCGGTTTTATTTACTGCAGTGTCTTAATTGTACAAACACACGGTCGCTTTCCCACTCTATATTACTATACATTTTCAAATGCCTTAGTATACGTCATTCCCAAACATTCTATGAATTTATGAAAACGTGAAAATGACCATATCTAAGCGGTCGCTTGTCAGACAACGTTTTAAAAAGTGTAATATTCTTCCTGGGGGTGTATATGAACAGATTTGAATAAGATTTCATGTTGCTAAAATGCTTTCATTTCCTTTAAATGCAACAATGTTTCACACACACACACAAGTTATTTTCAAAGAGATGGCTAACAACAGCAAGAGCACTGAAATAAAAAAACACAGTTCCACTCACCAGATGATGATAGTTTGAAAGTTTACTTCTCGTTGAAAGTTATTCTTGAAAAGGGAGAAGCTAACAAATTAGCAACAGCATCCTCTTTGATAACACCTGCTGCAGCTGCTGCAAACTAGCCGACAACAAAATCTAGCTAGCTAGCTAGACCATGGGAAAACTACTGCTCATTATTGCGCAGTGACCTGTTGGCCTTCAATAAGGCAGAAGTTTACATACATTTTTGTAAAAACCGTCCCACCCGTTAAGTCAAAATGTGATTGGTTGATTCCACTGTCACTCGAAAATGTTGCCCTAATACAGTTGAATAGCAGATTACTTTACCTCGACTTCTTGGCGCTGACGGAAACATGGATTACCACTGAAAACACTGCTACTCCTACTGCTCTCTCCTCATCTGACCATGTGTTCTCGCATACCCCGAGAGCATCTGGTCAGCGGGGTGGTGGCACAGGAATCCTCATCTCTCCCAAGTGGACATTCTCTCTTTTTCCCGTGACCCATCTGTCTATCTCCTCATTTGAATTCCATGCTGTCACAGTCACTAGCCCATTCAAGCTTAACATCCTTGTCATTTATCGCCCTCCAGGTTCCCTTGGAGAGTTCATCAATGAGCTCGACGCCTTGATAAGTTCCTTTCCTGAGGATGGCTCACCCCTCACAGTTCTGGGTGACTTCAACCTCCCTACGTCTACCTTTGACTCATTTCTCTCTGCCTCCTTCTTTCCACTCCTCTCCTCTTTTGACCTCACCCTCTCACCGTCCCCCCCTACTCACAAGGCAGGCAATACGCTTGACCTCATCTTTACTAGATGCTGTTCTTCTACTAATCTCACTGCAACTCCCCTCCAAGTCTCCGACCACTACTTTGTATCCTTTTCTCTCTCGCTCTCCTCCAACACTACTCACTCTGCCCCTACTCAAATGGTAATGCGCCGTCGCAACCTTCGCTCTCTCTCTCCCGCTACTCTCTCCTCTTCCATCCTATCATCTCTTCCCTCTGCTCAATCCTTCTCCCTCCAATCTCCTGATTCTGCCTCCTCAACCCTCCTCTCCTCCCTTTCTGCATCCTTTGACTCTCTATGTCCCCTATCCTCCCGGCCGGCTCGGTCCTCCCCTCCTGCTCCGTGGCTTGACGACTCATTGCGAGCTCACAGAACAGGGCTCCGGGCAGCCGAGCGGAAATGGAGGAAAACTAGACTCCCTGCGGACCTGGCATCTTTTCACTCCCTCCTCTCTACATTTTCTTCATCTGTTTCTGCTGCTAAAGCCACTTTCTACCACTCTAAATTCCAAGCATCTGCCTCTAACCTTAGGAAGCTCTTTGCCACCTTCTCCTCCCTGCTGAATCCTCCTCCCCCTCCCCCTCCCCCCCTCCACCCTCTCTGTGGATGACTTCGTCAACCATTTTGAAAAGAAGGTTGATGACATCCGATCCTCGTTTGTTAAGTCAAATGACACTGCTGGTCCTGCTCACACTGCCCTACCCTATGCTTTGACTTCTTTCTCCCCTCTCTCTCCAGATGAAATCTTGCGACTTGTGACGGCCGGCCGCCCAACAACCTGCCCGCTTGACCGTATCCCCTCCTCTCTTCTCCAGACCATCTCCGGTGACCTTCTCCCTTACCTCACCTCGCTCATCAACTCATCCTTGACCGCTGGCTATGTCCCTTCCGTCTTCAAGAGAGAGAGAGTTGCACCCCTTCTCAAAAAACCAACACTCGATCCCTCTGATGTCAACAACTACAGACCAGTATCCCTTCTTTCTTTTCTCTCCAAAACTCTTGAGCGTGCCGTCTTTAGCCAACTCTCTTGCTATCTCTCTCAGAATTACCTTCTTGATCCAAACCAGTCAGGTTTCAAGACTGGTCATTCAACTGAGACTGCTCTTCTCTGTGTCACAGAGGCTCTCCGCACTCCTAAAGCTAACTCTCTCTCCTCTGCTCTTGTCCTTCTAGACCTGTCTGCTGCCTTTGATACTGTGAACCATCAGATCCTCCTCTCCACCCTCTCCGAGTTGGGCATCTCCGGCGCGGCTCACTCTTGGATTGCGTCCTACCTGACCGGTCGCTCCTACCAAGTGGCGTGGCGAGAATCTGTCTCCGCACCACGTGCTCTCACCACTGGTGTCCCCCAGGGCTCAGTTCTAGGCCCTCTCCTATTCTCGCTATACACCAAGTCACTTGGCTCTGTCATATCCTCACATGGCCTCTCCTATCATTGCTACGCAGACGACACACAACTAATTTTCTCCTTTCCCCCTTCTGATAACCAAGTGGCGAATCGCATCTCTGCATGTCTGGCAGACATATCAGTGTGGATGACGGATCACCACCTCAAGCTGAACCTCGGCAAGACGGAGCTGCTCTTCCTCCCGGGGAAGGACTGCCCGTTCCATGATCTCGCCATCACGGTTGACAACTCCGTTGTGTCCTCCTCCCAGAGTGCAAAGAGCCTTGGCGTGACCCTGGACAACACCCTGTCGTTCTCCGCTAACATCAAGGCGGTGACCCGATCCTGTAGGTTCATGCTCTACAACATTCGGAGAGTACGACCCTGCCTTACACAGGAAGCGGCACAGGTCCTAATCCAGGCACTTGTCATCTCCCGTCTGGATTACTGCAACTCGCTGTTGGCTGGGCTCCCTGCCTGTGCCATTAAACCCCTACAACTCATCCAGAATGCCGCAGCCCGTCTGGTGTTCAACCTTCCCAAGTTCTCTCACGTCAACCCGCTCCTCCGCACACTCCACTGTCTTCCAGTTGAAGCTCGCATCTGCTACAAGACCATGGTGCTTGCCTACGGAGCTGTGAGGGGAACAGCACCTCCGTACCTTCAGGCTCTGATCAGTCCCTACACCCAAACGAGGGCATTGCGTTCATTCACCTCTGGCCTGCTGGCCCCCCTACCTCTGCGGAAGCACAGTTCCCGCTCAGCCCAGTCAAAACTGTTCGCTGCTCTGGCACCCCAATGGTGGAACAAGCTCCCTCACGACGCCAGGACAGCGGAGTCACTCACCACCTTCCGGAGACACTTGAAACCCCACCTCTTTAAGGAATACCTGGGATATGTTAAGTTGCGTCAATTCAAATCTGGTATTAGGAACAAAAGAGGTCAATACACATTTTCTAAAATAGACTAGTATTTTAATTAATGCAAACCACTTCAATGGTAAATATGATGTTCGTATATACGGGTCCACTGAAATACCACGCAGGGCACTCAGAGAACTGATCCATTGTTCTAAGTTCTTCTTCAAATACTCTGACAGAGATAGTTCCCGCTCCCTGCTGGCCAATCAGAGTAGAGACTGAGCGTGGTTTAGACTTAGTCAGCCAATCGTTGGCGCACAGGCTGGTCCCAGAACTTGGCGCTTCACTGTTGCCAGGCATAAGTTGTTATCATCACAACCTGTAGAGTCAGCACCCATAGACACTGTTCCCCTGTACTCTTTGTACCTACGTCCTTGGACGGTTCACAGATCACAAAGAGGCAGTGTTCGTGTATGTGAGACACAAGTTCTTATCTCCCCCTACTCCCTAAAACAGCTCCTCACATTAATCACAGCTTGTTAGGTTAAACAATTTATATCATCTTTTATGTTTAATCATTAATGCATTATTTCTAAGCTAGGCATCACATCTAGATCCCCACAGATAGGATAGAGTAATCCTTCTACCCCCCCCTTACCCCACCCCAAAGAAAGAAGAAAAAAAAGAAAAAAAAGAAGAAAAAGAAAAGAAAAAAAAAACATATTGTAAAGTGGTTATCCCACTGGCTATAAGGTGAATGCACCAATTGGTAAGTCGCTCTGGATAAGAGCGTCTGCTAAATGACGTAAATTTAAAAATTTAAATCTGGCTTCTGATGTCCTAGCCAATGGCTGACTTAGCTAGCTAGATGTATCTCCACAAAGACCAGCAGTGTTAACCCTTTCCTTTCCAACAAAAACTGAAGAGATTAAATCAGAACCTAATTGTTATTACAAAATATTATTATAATCATTATTTTATAAATCCTTAAAGTATTTTATACATCTGAAGGCATAGAAGGCCCATTGTTCCCCACAGTGTTTGAGTTAGTAATAATTTGTAGACTGGCTCTATTTTCCCTCAGCATGCATTCTTTCACTATTCTGAATCTCTAAAGAATCCATATGTTGTTCTGAAATATGAACACAGAAATACTGGACATTTTGAACTCTTCTTATGTGGTGATTTGACAAAATTACAATCATGGTCTTGAATTGGAATCGCAGTCTTGACTCGGTCTCGGACCCCTTGTCCCCATCCCGGTCTCGGTCTTGACTCGGTCTCTGACCCCTTGTGCCCCTCCCGGTCTCGGTCGTGACTCAGTCTCGCCCCCCCTCCGGTCTTGACTCAGTCTCGATTTGCTCCAGTCTTGGTCTTGAATCGGTCTCGCTTTAGATGGTCTTGAACACAACACTGGTGTGTGTGCATTGGTGTGAGGGGTTGTGCTGGTGTTGAGCATGTGTGTGTGTTTATTTGTGTGGGTATGTGAGGGTTTGTTGGTTTTGTGTGTGTGTGTGTGTGTGTGTGTGTGTGTGTGTGTGTGTGTGCAGCTGCTCTTGCTTTCATGAAACTCTTGTATACTGTGATACAACTAAGATGGTTAATTCAATTTATTGAATGATCTATGCTGTCACTGTAACATTACAGAAGATGACAGAGAGGGATCTTCAGAAGTTTCCCACCATTCATATTCCGTAAATCTAAAGTCAAAACGATTTAATTTTATATTCAGATAAAGTAACACTTGTGAAACAACTCTGGTCCCTTAAGCAAGTCTTAACCAGTCTCCTCTACCACACAAAAACCTCATTGAAAGTCTTTTACTGAGATCATTTAATCAGTATGTTAAAGAGGGTGGAAATGATGGTCACCCACATATAAATACAGTTGGTTTGGACATGGTCGTGTGTGTGTAAAGGAGGTCACGCTGCTTGCTTAGCGAGTACCGCTTCGGCCCATACCTGGCACGGACTTGGGACCTCTACCTCACAAACACACGTGACCATCCTCCCTCAAGCGTTTTAGCCGATCGCACTAGCTAATGAGGCGATGCAAGCGGGACACTTCAGGCTGAGGAGTATGTTTCACACATCCCCATATGCTACATGTGTGTGTGCGTGTACTGTATCAGTCAGCGGCTTATAATAACCGTCATGTGGTGTGGTGTGGTGTGGTGTGGTTACTATATGTTGTGTTGTGTGGTGTGGTTACTATATGTTGTGCTGTGTGGTGTGGTTACTATATGTTGTGCTGTGTGGTGTGGTTACTATATGTTGTGTGGTTACTATATGTGGTGTGGTGTGGTGTGGTGTGGTTACTATATGTTGTGTTGTGTGGTGTGGTTACTATATGTTGTGTTGTGTGGTGTGGTTACTATATGTTGTGTTGTGTGGTTACTATATGTGGTGTGGTGTGGTGTGGTTACTATATGTGGTGTGGTTACTATATGTGGTGTTGTGTGGTATGGTTACTATATGTGGTGTGGTGTGGTTACTATATGTGGTGTGGTTACTATATGTGGTGTGGTGTGGTTACTATATGTGGTGTGGTTACTATATGTGGTGGTGGTTACTATATGTGGTGTGGTTACTATATGTGGTGTGGTATGGTTACTATATGTGGTGTGGTTACTATATGTGGTGTGGTGTGGTTACTATATGTGTGTGTTGGTGTGGTGTGGGTTACTATATGTTGTGTTGTTGTGGTGTGGTTTACTATATGTTGTTTGTGTGGTTACTATATGTGGTGTTGTGTGGTGTGGTTACTATATGTTGGTTGTTGTGTGGTGTGGTTACTATATGTTGTGTTGTTGTGGTGTGGTTACTATATGTTGTGTGTGTGTGTGTTACTATATTGTGGTGGTGGTGTGGTGTGTGGTTACTATATGTGTGTGTTGTGTGGTGTGGTTACTATATGTGGTGTGGTGTGGTTACTATATGTGGTGTGGTTACTATATGTGGTGTGGTGTGGTTACTATATGTGGTGTGGTTACTATATGTGGTGTGGTGTGGTTGGTTACTATATGTGGTGGGTTATATATGTGTGGGTACTATATGTGGGGTACTATGTGGTGTGGTGTGGTTACTATATGTGCTGTGGTTACTATATGTGGTGTGGTGTGGTATAGTTACTATATGTGGTGTGGTGTGGTGTGGTTACTATATGTGGTGTGGTGTGGTGTGGTGTGGTTAATACAGTTGAAGTCGGAAGTTTACATACACTTAGGTTGGAGTCATTAAAACCAGTTTTTCAACCACTCCACAAATATCTTGTTAACAAACTATAGTTTTGCAAGTCGGTTAGGACATCTACTTTGTGCATGACACAAGTAATTTTTCCAACAATTCTTTACAGACAGATTATTTCACTTATAATTCACTGTATCACAATTCCAGTGGGTCAGAAGTTTACATACACTAAGTTGAATGTGCCTTTAAACAGCTTGGAAAATTCCAGAAAATGATGTCATGGCTTTAGAAGCTTCTGATAGGCTAATTGACATCATTTGAGTGAATTGGAGGTGTACCTGTGGATGTCTTTCAAGGCTTACCTTCAAATTCAGTGCCTCTTTGATCCTAACTGACCTAAGACAGGGAATTTTTTACTAGGATTAAATGTCAGGAATTGTGAAAAACTTAGTTTAAATGTATTCGGCTAAAGTGTATGTAAACTTCCGACTTCAACTGTATGTGGTGTGGTGTGGTTACTATATGTGGTGTGGTTACTATATGTGGTGTGTGTGATGCTGGAGTAAGTGTAGCCGTGAAAAACCTGTTGAATCTTCTAATGAAAAGGCAGAGCGAGAGAAAGAGAGAGAGAGCAAGATGGTGTGTGTGTGTGTGTGCCTGAGAGAGAGAGAGAGAGAGAGAGAGAGAGAGAGAGAGTTGAGAGAGAAAGAGAGAGCGAGAGAGAGAGAGAGAGGAAACAAGAAAGAGGGGGATGAGGTGGGCGAGAGAAAGTACTGAATTTGATAACGTTGTGTTACTCAATTATTTCAATAAATTCTCGACTCATCACTAAGATCTGTAGCGAGATCAACAGGAGTGAAGAGAAGAGGGGGTTTGGTCAGAGGTGAGAAATACTAATCTACTAGCCTAGATCCATCATGAGAACTAAACTCTGCTGTGTGACAGGACAGCAGAGACACAGGACACATCCATGTTCCTCATGTCTTTAATAGATCAAAGGAACATAAGAACCATCAACAAGGTAAACAGAACTGTACTGTACCACGGCTCCTGCCCCACTGCCCTAACACTACAGCTACTATATCTCAGGAGAAACATCTCCCTCCCTCTCCTCATTGTATGGTTGGTTTTCTCTCTGTAGATTTTGTACAAGAAGAAGAAGCCTGGGATTCAGAAGAGTTTGTGAGTCTGTGCACTGTAAAACACTCTCACTTTTACATTACATTGCTACCAAGCCACATATCCATCCACACAATGTAGAAATGTAGCTTTACATCATCAATAGAAGACCCTTGTCATCAAAACCATATCACTAATCACCAACCTGTCATTCTACATTTCCCACCTCTCCTCTCCTCTCCTCCCCTCCTCTCCTCTTCTCCCCTCCTCTCCCCCTCCTCTCCCCCCTCCTCTCCTCTCCCCCCTCCTCTCCTCTCCTCCTTTCCCCTCCTCTCCTCTCACCCCTCCTCTCCTCCCCCCTCCTCGTCTGTCAGGATATGAGTGATAACGACTATGAGAACCTTGAAGAGGACGACAGTTATATCTGTGCCTTGTCTGACCGCCTGCCACCCCCACCACCAGCAGCACCTGCAGAGGGAGAGGAGGCTACAGAAGAGATCCCACGCCTCCTCAATTTCACCAAGCCCCTAGGGAACAGTGACTATACAGGTACAGTAGCTGTGCAATTAACCATTACTGACTGTCTTTAGTGAATACATACTGTCGGTACTATAGCTCAGCTGTGTGTGTGTGTGGGGGGGTGTTTGTTTGTTTGAAGGTCTGTCAGTAACCCCTCCAGCTGGAAGGACTCCCAGACCACCCCAGCGCTCCTGTCCTCAGGCCCCCAGTCGTAACATGGTGAGTGTCTTCTTCATCATAGTCTTCATTACAATATCACTATTTTTTCCTCTTCTCATCCTGTCTTCTTTACAGACCCCTACAGTTTCATTCATGTTACCATCCGTCCATCTCATACCCTCCTCACTCTTTCTGAAATCAATCATGGTTAATGAAGCTTCCAACTCTCTCCCGCTCTTTTCCCCCCTCTCTAGCTGGCCAAACCTCCCACATCCAGACTAGGCCCCTCCCATTCAAAGCTGCAGGCAAACGTAAGTCATTCTTACCATGATTCAAATAATCAAAGCTTGTTGATGAGTTGGTTATGTGAATCAGCTGTGTAGTGCTAGGGCAAAAACCAAAACGTGCACCCAGGGGGGCACCAGGACCGAGTTTGGGAAACCCTGGTTTAGAGGTAGATCAAGCTCACCGACGTAAAATTAGGACAAAAAATCAGGACAGATTACATTTTTGTTATTTAGCAGACAATCAGTGCATTATATGAGGTAGCATTCAACGAAGGTAGGTAAAACCATAGAATTAAAATGACTAGAACGGACATGGCCTAATCTAATTCCATGGTTTTCTCTACCTTAGTTAAAACAACCTGTCAGATCATACCTCTGCAACATCTTTAAATGCTTATTAGTGGTTTGTTTGAGACATTTCTTCCTAAATATCTACCTCCCCCACCCCCAACAGGCCCTTCTGTCCCCCTGATCGACCAAAGCAAGAAGTCTGGACAGCCTCCTCCCCCCAAGAAACAACCTCCTCATCATCACACAAACACCAAAACAACTCCTACAAGTAATGCTCTGTCAACTGTCTGTTGTCCTGTTGATTTAGCCTCCTAGTCTGTTTATTCAGGTCAAGTCTTTTCAATTCAATATTGAAAAAATATATATATATTAATACCTAAGGGGCAATTAAAAAGGCATTGTCAGTGTGTGGAGACCCATTATGCTATATATTATAGTTGCCTTGCAAAGACAAAGAAAAGTCAGCTTCGGTAGGAACAGATTGCCACCATTATGGCTACTGTTGACTAGTAGGTTGAGAATGCCTAACTTCTATATTTTCTGTGTCTGTTTGGTGACTACCCACTGTGTCCAGGAGAGGGCAGTCCATTCCGCTTTCCCCAGGCGGCCATAGTGAAGCCACCTCAACTAAAGGCCCCAAAGTCACTAGACTATTCTAACTGGTAACCTAACCCTGACCTCTCCATTCCCGTTAACCCCTTGGCTGTATCTCAACAGTCTAAAGGCGCTTCTTCCCCTTCTCAGTTGTTCTATTGAATAGAAAGTCTTGATGACAACAAAGGAATTTTGTTTTTACCGGTTCAAGTTCCTTCAGTAAATTCAGAGAGTGAGAATTAGAGGAGAATAATTGAGATGTAGATCGAGCCAATCCTCCTAACATATTGTACTATGATATCTTCTCTACCAACAGATCCAGCTCAAGTAAACCTCCTGCTCCTCCTTCTTACCCACCTTCAAAGGTCCCCAACACAAAACCAGGCACATTATATTATATATTACATGGAAGGTGACAGATCAATCAATCAAATGCCCTTTTTACATCAGTAGTTACATCAGCAGAGCCTTTATGCAATCCATACGGTCCATACCACTTTTCAAACGTTATTTACATAAACATACAATACATGTAATAAAATGAGCAAAACACCAAGTTTTACTGAAGAGAATTATAAAGGACATGTAATTAGCGTCACTGGCCACTAGATGGCACTGTTGCAGTATACAAACACTAGGGCCACAGCTGCATTCGTCTTTTAGGGTCCACACACAAAACACTACAAAACCGACCAAGCACAACCAGGCATAAAAACCCCATAGATACAGTGCCTAAGAATTTAACAGCATTAAAAAACAGGTGTAAAAACCGCACACTAGAGAAGACAGGTGTGTGTGGTCTAGAATGTTGGTTTTTACACTTGTTTTTGAACAGCCTACTAGTTGTTCCTGCACAACCAACGCGTGGATCTAGACACAATGGGTTTTGTCTTTTTATTTTGTATTCTAACTCTGTTGATCGGTTGCTGTTCCCTGCTGTGTACAGGGCATGGTCCCTGTGTGGTATGGAGGACTGGTCACCAGAGGCCAGGCTGAAGCATCTCTCAGATGGGTTAACAAGGTCAGGAATCCCCCTCCCCTGGTGGGCTTCACTAACACACACAGTGTGTATCAACGTAGCTGTGTGTGTTTCAGGATGGAGCGTTTCTGGTGAGGGACAGTTCCAAGGGCTCTCCTGAGCAGCCCTACACCCTCATGGTGCTGAACCAAGGCAAGGTCTAGAACATCCAGATACGTCACCAAGGCAACACATACCACCTGGACACCCGCCTCATGGGTAGGGAGGTAAACAAATAGCCGTCAAGGGACTCCCTCACAAACAAGAATTCGACTTCTTTAAAAATAAAAATAAATATTTTTAATGATTTTATTGAACAAGATAGAGGTTGTGTCAAAGGTAACTAAGCCGGATTTAAACCTTTGCCGACACTGTGTGCTGGCGTCATTACCACTAGACCAGCCAGGCCACAGAATTCAAGGGTTTTCAGCTTAGCATGCAAATGCAATTAAACATTGGTCATCTAGTTAACAGCCGCTTTTATTACATTTTACATTTTAGTCATTTAGCAGATGCTCTTATCCAGAGCGACTTACAGTTAGTGAGTGCATACATTATTTTTTTATTTTTCATACTTGCCCCCTGTGGGAAACGAACCCACAACCCTGGCGTTGCAAATGCCATGCTCTACCAACTGAGCAACATCCCTGCCGGCCATTCCCTCCCCTACCCTGGACGACGCTGGGCCAATTGTGCGCCACCCAATGGGTCTCCCAGTCGCGGCCGGCTACGACAGAGCCTGGATTCGAACCAGGATCTCTAGTGGCACAGCTAGCACTGTGATGCAGTGCCTTAGACCACTGCTTACAGCTTACAGTTTACAAACAGATCTGGCACTCAGGCTGTAGGGTTTATTGGCTGTGCACAGATAAACACCACCCACTTGTTGACTTGATGCCTTAATGGCCCAGTGCAAGATTTTGCTGTGTTTTATATATATTTCCACACTATGAGGTTGGAATAATACTATGAAATTGTGAAAATGATAATGTCCTTTTAGTGTTAGAGCTGTTTGAAAAGACTGCCTGAGATTTCAGCCTGTTTTTGTGGGATGGAGTTTTGGCTTGCCTGGTGACATCACCAGGATGTAAATTAGTTAATAGACCAATAAGGAAGAGTTCCAAACCTCTTTGCCAATAACAGCTATTTTTCAGTTTTCCCCTCCCTACTCAGACCACTCCCAGACAGTCCTGGCAAAATTATTGCTTCTGAAATTGCTCTTCCAGCTACAAGGTCAAAATTATCTATATCTTAAAAATTCATGAAAACAAACATTTGCTTTTAGGTCTTCATTTAAGGTTAGGGTTAGGCATTAGGGTTAGCAGTGTGATTAGGGTTGAGGCTAGGGTTAGGTTTAAAATCAGATTGTATGACTTTGTGGCTGTGCCAGCTAGTGACCACTCTGCAGAGTTCATGACAACAAATGCCAACCTGCTACCACATCATAAACTAACCAATGGGCCTTTCCATTCTATGCTGCTGTGTTGCTGATGCAGAGTTTCCCAGGAGTGAAGGAGATGATAGACCACTACACACACACACCTCTGCTGCTCATAGACATGGAGAGAGGAACTGGAGCACAGAGCCAGTGCTGCCTGCTGCACCCTGCACCACTCTGACCATAACCAGCAGCACAGGAGACACAGTGTGTGTTCCTTTATGACTCACCTGGTTATATAAAGGGAAGAAAAAAAGGAGTGTATAAAGTAGCTTGTAGGGAGAAGAGAGGGAACCAGATTTGTATTAGGTACAGTCGCCAATTCACAATGGAGGGTTTCTTTTCATGTTATAAGAAGGTTAATGTTATGAAGTTGCATGTCGTAAGTTAAATATAGTGAAGTAGTATATATTACACTGGTCTTCACCTGTCATTTTTAGGTTGTGATCATTAAGCTGAGAGAAAAATGTGTTTGATTACAAGTGTGACTATGTGGACTAATGATGGTCCCTATCCAGTTCTATAACCCACTGGCTCCATGCTTTCCTCTCACACACACACACACACACACACACACTTCCTCCTTTCCTCTCTATCCTCTCCTTCTTCACCTTCATTTCCTCTCCATCCTCCTCCATCTTCTTCATCTTCTCCTCCTCCTCAGCCTGAGGTCATGTTTGGCCAGGTCACCCACCCCCTGTTCCACTCTGTTCAGAGAGGCCATCTTGTCACACGATCAGGTCACACTGTCTCAGCTGTGTCCGCACTGTGAACCGCACTGAACAGAAGAAAGCATTCACAAAAAAACACACTGTAAAATAAACTTCTGTCTATTAGACAAAGCTGGCCTAGCTCTGTGCACTTTTTAAAAGAGGTTTAAAATCAAAAGGACTGAGTCTACCAAAATGTATGATTTTTATTTAAGAACAGTTGATTTGTTGATTAGTTGAACTGCATGTGGCATTGCAGGGCTAGAACAAGAATGTGGATTGTCTGACAGTTCCCTAGGTAGGAGAGGGTGTGGATTGTCTGACGGTTCCCTAAGTAGGAGAGGGTGTGGATTGTCTGACGGTTCCCTAAGTAGGAGAGGCTTGGGAAACACTGTAGTAGATAAAGGAGGGGGTTGGGAACACTGTAGTAGATAAAGGAGGGGGTTGGGAACACTGTAGTAGATAAAGGAGAGAGCCCAGAGGGGTAAAGAAGAGAGATACAGATGTACCTACATGCCAGTCTGTCCAGACACTCAGACATGGAGTCCAGCCCCTTCAGAATGTGGTCCAGATCAGCAGAGTCACCCTGTTCTGTACTCCTCTCGCTTCTCTCCATCTGAAACACAACAGACAGTCAACAACTGTATATTACATTCAGTCAGTGCAAAGTCAACGTGCATGGCCACTGGTTCACATAGAAAGAAATAGCCTACATTCAAACATTCACATTTATCAACATACACTGAACAAAAATATAAATGCAACATGTAAAGTGTTGATCCCATCTTTCATGATATGAAATAAAAGATCCCAGAAATTTTCTATATGCACAAAAAGCTTATTTCTCAAAAAAAAAATGTTTTGCCCTGTTAGTGAGCATTTCTCCTTTGCCGAGATAATCCATCCACCTGACAGGTGTAGCATATCAAGAACCTGATTAAACTGCATGATCTGGGGACAATAAAAGTCCACTCTGAAATGTGCAGTTTTGGCACACACAATGGCACAGATGTCTCAAGTTGAGGGAGTGTGCAATTGGCATGCTGACTGCAGGAATGTCCACCAGAGCTGTTGCCAGATAATTAAATGTTTATTTGTCTACCATAAGCCGCCTCCAACGTCGTTTTAGAGAATTTCAGTGGGCAAATGCTCAACTTCGATGGCCACTGGCACACTGGGAAGTGTGCTCTTCACGATTGAATCCCAGTTTCAACTATACCAGGCAGATGGCAGACAGCGTGTATGGCGTTGTGTGGTCGAGCGGTTTGCTGATGTCAACGTTGTGAACCGGGTGCCCCATGGTGGCGGTGGGGTTATGGTATGGCCAGGCATAAGCTACAGACAACAAACACAATTGCATTTTATCAATAGCAATTTGAATGCACAGAGATACATGACGAGATCCATTGTCGTGCCATTCATCCACCACTATCACCTCATGTTTGTATGAAAAATGTATGCACTCACTAACTGTTAGTCGCTCTGGATAAGAGAGTCTGCTAAATGACTAAAATGTAAAATGTTATGTTTCAGCATGATAATGCAAGGCCCCATGTCGCATGGATCTGTACACAATGCCTGGAAGCTGAAAATGTCCTAGTTCCTCCATGGCCTGTATACTCACCAGACATGTCACCCAATGAGCATGTTTGGGATGCTCTGGATCAACGTGTATGACAGCGTTTTCCAGTTCCCACCAATATCCAGCAACTTCGCACAGCCATAGAGTAAGGTTACATGCACACAATAATGTGATTGTGGATAATCAGATTCATTTAACAGTTTGATTAAAACGTTTATATGCTTTGCAAGAAGAACGATTCCCTTAATAATCCTGTTTACATGGTCACATCTGAAGTCAGGCTACCTGATGGCACTCTGATAAATGGAGAAAATCGCCAATCAAAATAAACGTTCTACCACAGCGAACACGTTATTTTTGGTAAGCATATTTGATTCTGAGTTCGGACATAACGTTTGTATGTGAAAACTAGTTCTACTATGCTACATTCAGTTGTTCCGAACTCACTTCACTCGCACTAAAACGGGAGGCTCGCTCAGCTGGTGCTTGCACATGCGCAGATCAAATACACAGCTGGAACGCTGATTAAGGTGTTTACATGTCCTAATAATTCGAACGATTGCTCAGAAAACCAGTTGTTTTAATCGGCATATGCTTACTTCGATTTTGACCTTATGCCGATTAAGATAAACAGAGTAAGGTATTTAAATGACTATTGCATAATCTGCCTACGTTATATGGGCATTGAATTGGTGAAGGCCAGGTAGGGGAGGAGATAGGGATAAATTACTTCTCCAAAGAGAGACATATTGGATAGCCCCAGCAGGCCTTAATGAGGAATGTTATTTTTCTTGTTGTTTGTAGTATGCTATTATAGTATGCTATATAATATAATAGGCCAAACCCTTTGGTAATGGCATCTTAATGTAATTGTATTGTGTGTCTATGTATCTTTATTAGATTGTCATGTTTCCCCCACAGCTCTCTCTGCTGGGATCTCTTGATTGGGCCAATACTGACTGGGAATTGAGAATTATGCCCACCGGTGTGAGTTCTTGTTGTGACATTGATTGACATTGCCTTGCACGCTGAAGAAGGGCTCATACCCGAAACGTTCGTGCGACAATAAAAATGTGTCAATTTAAGTGTATTTACCGGAGCGCTGTCCCATTACTGTTCTTTGGATTATATACCAGGATCCAGCACCTGATTTAAGTTGATATACATTTACATTTTAGTCATTTATCAGACGCTCTTATCCAGAGCGACTTACATTATTATTATTATTATTATTAATCTTTTTTCATACTGGCCCCCCGTGGGAATCGAACCCACAACCCTGGCGTTGCAAACGCCATGCTCTACATCCCTGCCGGCAATTCCCTCCCCTACCCTGGACGACGCTGGGCCAATTGTGCGCCGCCCCATGGGTCTCCCGGTCGTGGCCGGCTACGACAGAGCCTGGATATAAAGTGGAGTCGAGCACATTGTTTATCTTTTCATAATCTGCCTACTGCCATAATCCGTTTATCTAATTATTAGTGTACATGTAAACGTACTGATTGACGAGGAGTGGGACTACATTCCACAGGCCACAATCAACAGCCTGATCAACTCTATGCGAAGGAGATGTGTTGCGCTGCATGAGGCAAATGGTGGTCACACCAGATACTGACAGGTTTTCTAATCCACGCTCCTACATTTAAGGTATCTGTGACCAACAGATGCATATCTGTATTCCCAGTCATGTGAAATCAATAGAGTAGGGCCTAATGAATTTATTTAAATTGACTGATCTCCTTATATGAACTGTAATTTAGTAAATTCTTTGCAACTGTTGCATGTTAAGTTAATATTTTTGTTCAGTGTAAATACTACTCTGAAGAATGAGATAAGGCTTACAGTTTCTAAAGTCTTTAAGTACAACGCTACAGTACCATGACTGCTGGGGGTATGACTAGGATGTGACTATCAAGATGTAAAATGTCAACATGTGTATGCACATTTTACCAACTCCTTTTGGCATCCCAATAAACAAGCTAACAGTCAATATTCTCGATTCAAGTTTTATCTTATTATTTGACCAAACAGGCAAACCACAAATTCATAACACAACACTAAAGTTAATTGAACACCCTGTCTTCAGGTACATAACAAACAACCATAATCTACATATAACAGCCTGCTGCTCAGTTTAGACAGCATGCAGTGTGGGGCAGGAGTCATCTATCTCAATCATCTATCTCCTGTGGCTTCTGCTTCTGTCAAAGAGAGAGGCTGCAGATATGGGACTCTAGTCTACATATAACCAACATTGTAGACAAGCATACAGGGCACAGGCTACTATCTTTGGATTAAGGTCAATTTCAGAACATCAGACATTCCCGGTGAATCACAGCCAATCACATTTCTGTCAGTGAGATGGAGGTGGTATGTACAGGTCTGGGACACTCCATCCCCATCACTTGGTTCAGCCCCTGTCCCAGTTCCTATCCCATCCCCTGGTTCAGCTCCTGTTCCCCAGGGGAGCCACAGATGACAGCCCTGCAGCGGAGGAACTCTTCCTCCAGCTGCTGTAGGGAGTCCCCCAGATCAGGACTGGTCCGCTGCACCACCATGTCATAGGCCATCCACGTCAGCTGTACTGGGAAACCAAAGGGGAGATGAAGGACAGGGCTGTTGGTGTCAGTAGTGGGCTGTACTGAGTATGATTTAAAACACACGGCAGAATTTAGATTTAATGGATGTGTGTAATTCACTTTTCTAAATGTAATAAAAAAAAGGGTGGGTAGTAAATGGAATGGCGGTGGAGAGTTAGGGTTTAGCTACTATTTTCTATCTCAGAATAACAGTAAGTACATCATACAGATGCTCTTAATAAAGTTAGTTACCATACCTGATATATTTTCCACGTCTTCAATCATTCTCTCTAAATCCTTGTTCAACTCCATCATCTCTTCTCCCCAGTCCTCTTGATGGTCGCTGGATGAAGGAGAATCGGCCATCTACAAACCCCATATATTCTCATCAAGATTCGAAATACTAACGTGAACTAATAACGTTAATGCTTCCAACCACACTGTAAATGATTAATGAACGTACCAAAGTGATTGGGATAAATACATATAAGTTATGGACGTGGATAAAGTAGTTTATACATTTTCAAATCCGTTTTATTTTGGTGACATTTGATTGACAGGTTCACGTCGTTAGCTAGCTAAGTAAACTAGCTAACTAAACTAGCTAACGTTAGCTAGCTGGCTGCAAACCGTTGCTAAAATTTATCCAAACAAATTAAGTCTGTAAGCTTGTCGTATCAATCTTGGTTTAAATAACACAATGTAGAGTACCTTAACAAAATAAGCACCTTATTTATGAATATTTAAAAATGAAGAAAAAAAATACTTACGATGCTCTAGCTGGCGGTCTCTTCCTTTTATCTTGGTTGTTTGTTATCCGAAATTGCGCACTGAGGAACAGATTCGTCATGCCAATGAAGAAAATGTAAATTGAATTGAAATTAAATGAGAGAGAGTAGTGTAGCAAGTGGGGATAGCGTCAATTCCATGGTAAAGGAATTATGCTGAGACGCCGACTTTCTGCTTTAAAATGTATGCAAAAAAAAAAACATTGATTTAAAAGTCTAACAAACCATACAACTCTATGCACAATGATTACTTCGAACAATTGACACATTAAAAAAATACATTTTACTGGAAAAACTGTGCAGATATGAAAACGTTGGTACAAAATTGCTATAAAATCTCCCTCGAATTGTATTCTGTGGAAATTGTTAAAAGTAGTCATTGTGCATAGAGTTCTATGCTTTGTTAAACTTTGAAATTAATGGTTTTTGTTTGGTATACCTTTTAAAGTGACAAATGAGTCTCAACTTAATTTCGTTACAATGGAATTTCCCAGAGACAACTCGAACCCAGCCTGTCCTGTGCTGGAGCCAATGGCCTTTAATTGATAGGCATTTGAGAGTGGATCATCTCTCATCATAGCCCAAAGAAATTCCTCATATTCAGTACTATACGGGTTGTTCAAAAAGCACAAGAAAGAGGATTTCGACCCCCACCATCTCAGATTGTCTGAAATAATGTATGTAGTTAGGAACAGATATGATTAGCATTCCTGAAACATTATTTTGTTTCAATATAATTTGATCTGAGAAATTAAGCTAATTGATTGCACCTAAATTGGCCATTTAAATTTATAGGATTCAGATAATATTCAATGAATATAGTACCCAACGTCTGATTTGGACCAAATGTCTTCCTACCAATGAGTAAGACACAAAGGAATCCTCCCAAAATATAAAAATCACCCATGGACCCCCACACCCCATGCCAATCCCACCCCAACAACCAGTATACAGTATCAGTTGGCTCTCTATGTTTGAGAAGTAGTATGAAGCTGTGGCTTGTAGTATTGCTTCTCCATACTATGCAATGTATTACCCTGTGAATCTGGAGATTTCCCTTTGTTCAGAGAAATTAGTAATTGAAGTTGAATGCATTATTTACCATAAAGTAGGGTGAAAGTACAAGGCTTTGACCACTAGATGCCACTGTTTCTGCTCCTTTGCAACTTTGGGTAGAAAACCAATAGATTTGTCTCATTATGAAAATACACTACATGACCAAAAGTATGTGGACACCTGCTCGTCGAACACCTCATTCCAAAATCATGGGCATTAATATCGAATGTCATTGTATGCTGTAGCGTTAAGATTTCCCTTCACTGGAACTAAGGGGCCTAGCCCAAGCCATGAAAAACAGCCCCAGACCATTATTCCTCCTCCACCAAACTTACAGTTGGCACTAAGCATTCAGGCAGGTAGCGTTCTCCTGGCATCTGCCAAACCCTGATTATTTTCCCACATTTTGTTACGTTACAGCCTTATTCTACTAATGACAAAGCGAAAAAAGGTTTCTAGACATTTTAGCAAATTTATTACAAATAAAAAACAGAAATACCTTATTTACGTATGTATTCAGACCCTTTGCTGTGAGACTCGAAATTGAGCTCAGGTGCATCCTGTTTCCATTGATCATCGTTAAAACGTTTCTACAGCTTGATTGGAGTCCACTTGTGGTAAGTTCAATTGATTCGACATGATTTGGAAAGGCACACACCTGTCTATATAAGCTCCCACAGTTGACAGTGCATGTCAGAGCAAAAACCAAGCCATGAGGTCCAAGAAATTGTCCATAGAGTTCAGAGACAGGATTGTGTCAAGGCACAGATCTGGGGAAGGGTACCAAAACATTTCTGCAGCATTGAAGGTCCCCAAGAACACCGTGGCCTCCATCATTCTTAAATGGAAGAAGTTTGGAACCACCAAGAGACTCTTCCTAGAGCTGGCAGCCCAGCCAAACTGAGCAATCGGGGGAGAAGGGCCTTGGTCAGGGAGGTGACCAAGAACCTGATGGTCACTCTGACAGAGCTCCAGAGTTCCTCTGTGGAGATGGGAGAACCTTCCAGAAGGACAACCCTCTCTGCAGCACTCCACCAATCAGGCCTTTATGGTAGAGTGGCCCGATGGAAGCCACTCCTCAGTAAAAGGCACATGACAGCCCACTTGGAGTTTTCCAAAAGCCACCTAAAGGACTCTGACCATGAGAAACAAGATTATCTGGTCTGATGAAACCAAGATTAAACTCTTTGGCCTGAATGCCAAGCGTCACGTCTGGAGGAAACCTGGCACAATCCCTACGGTGAAGCATGGTGGTGGCAGCATCATGCTGTGGGGATGTTTTTCAGCGGCAGGGACTGGGAGACAAGTCAGGATCGAGGGAAAGATGAACGGAGCAAAGTACAGAGAGATCCTTGATGAAAACCTGCTCCAGAGCGCTCAGGACCTCAGACTGGGGGGGTGGAGGTTCACCTTTCAACAGCACAACGACCCTAAGCACACAGCCAAGACATTGCAGGAGTGGCTCTGAATATCGTTGAGTAGCGCAGCCAGACCGGGACTTGAACTTGATTGAACATCTCTGGAGAGACCTGAAAATAGCTGTGCAGCGACGCTCCCCATCCAACCTGACAGAGCTTGAGAGGATCTGCAGAGAAGAATGGGAGAAACTCCCCAAATACAGGTGTGCCAAGCTTGTAGTGTCATACCCAAGAAGACTCGAGGCTGTAATCGCTGCCAAAGGTGCTTCAACAAAGTACTGAGTAAAGGGTCTGAATACTTATGTAAATGTATTATCTGTTTTTTATTTTTAATAAATTAATTTGTTTTTCTAAAAACCTGTTTTTGCTTTGTCATTATGGGGTATTGTGTGTAAATTGATGATGGAAAAAAAAACATTTTAATCCATTTTAGAATAAAGCTGTAACAAAATGTGGAAAAAGTCAAGGGGTCTGAATACTTTCCGAATGCACTGTAACTGCTTGTTACATGCAATATGCTTTGTGGACTTCACCAGACAGAGGTTGCTCTCCGGTTTTGTGATGAAACAAAGGTGGTCGAATTTATTCTGCCAGTGTCTTCTTGTCTCGGCCTTTAGGCCTATATGTCGCAAGGCATATGAACAAACAGGTTATAGAGCAAACTATGTAATTATCACAACAAATAGGTTGTAATATGGCTTTTCTTTCTGGCTTCCCCATTTATTGTACCCGCTACTGATTGTGTGGTCATCCTCACAGTTCATGCCAGTCCTCCGTGAAAGCAATTCAGTTTATCGATCTCTCTTAGCAACCTATTGCTTCAACCCAACTCTCCTTAAATAGATCAACAAGTGGCCGCACTCTGAGAGGGCTATCCCTATGGTGCAATTCTCATATGAAGACTTTTCCTACAAGCCCAAAACTTTGATGTAAAAATGGTCTAGGGACTAAAATGTTGTGACAACCCTAATAGAACCCAACACCCTTACCATTGCAAAACACTATACAGTGTGTGTTTGGAACTTTTACCATTGAAGACCATTTGAGACCATAACATTGAAACCATTAGAACTGCTGTAACCTAAAGCCGCCGGCATACTAGGTTCTGTTTCCTCCTAGCAGAACTCGGCTAGGCAAAGCGAATGTCTGTGCCTCACATACTCCCTTAAAAGACCTTCGCTTGAAAAACAAGAAAAAAAACAGCAATATTACTGTTTGTCCCTATTGAGACGCTGTAGCAAAACGTAGCCAGTATACAGTACACTTCCTCAAAATCAAGAAATCTTTCATTAATGCAGAGGAGGTCTTAGTCATGCAATTTTACATCTAACTAAGGTGTTTTGTGCAGTACTTCTCAAGTGAAAAAATGTGCATGAAAACTAGTCGTCTCTCATTGAATGACAACAAACACTTAATTGAAGAATCCCGTCCACTACTAGGAGTAGTACTGTTGACCAATCAGCAACGAAGGGTAGTAGACTTCGGCTACCGAACTTCGACTTGCCCCAGCAAAAAAAATGGTGTAAGCGAACAGCCGAAAAAGCCCTGCCGAACACCAAAACTAACAAAAGCGTCATATGTCGTCATAATATATGCTCAAACTGTTTTGACTGGGAAGAATGTGTGGTTTGCTTGTTCACCAAGAATGATCTAACAGTAACTAATCCAGACTTTTTTGAAGGGAATAAACCACAGATAAAGCATAAAAGAAGGACAAACTGAATTGCTTTCATGGAGGACTGGCTTGAATTGTGAGGATGACCAAATCTAAGGACAAACTGCATTGCTTTCATGGAGGACTGGCTTGAATTGTGTGGGTGACCAAATCTATTGGTTTTCTACCCAAAGTTGCAAAGGAAATGTTGTGATGTATTTAATAAATACAAGAGACCAGGGCCCGGTTTCCCAAAAGCATAATCTTAAGGCTAAATTCATCGTTAGAACCTTGGATCCTATGGTGTGGTGATATAGCAGGAACAGCGGCATCTAGTGGTCAAAACATGGTACTTTCACACTACTTTATGGTAAATAAAGCAAGTGACTTCAATTACTTATTGAAAAAAACATTACCAGGTTCACAGGGTAATACATTACATAGTATGGAGAAGCAATACTCCAAGCCGCAGCTTCATACTACTTCTCAAACATAGAGAACTGATACTGTATACTGGTTGTTGGGGTTGGATTGGCATGGGGTGTGGGGGTCCGTGGGTGGCTTTTGACCGTTTTTGGGGGATTCCTCATACTCATTGGTAGGAAGAAGTTTGGTCCAAATTGGACGTTGGTGCTATATTTATTGAATATTATCTGAATCCTATAAATTTAAATGGCCAATTTCGGTGCAATCAAATAGCTTAATTTCTCCAAGATCAAATTACATTTCAACAAAATAATGTTTCAGGAATGCCAATCTTACCTGTTTCTAACTACAGAAACAATTTCAGAACAATCTGATAGTGGGTGTCATGGCTTGCTGAAATAACATGGAACAACTTGTAAAGTGCGTTCGGAAAGTACTCAGACCCCCTGACTTTTTCCACATTTTGTTACGCTACAGCCTTATTCTAAAATTGATTAAATTGTATTTTTTTCCTCATCAATCTACACACAATACCCCATAATGATAAAGCAAAAACAGGTTTTTAGAAAAACGACGGAAATATCACATTTACATAAGTATCCAGACCCTTTACTCAGTACTTTATTGAAGCACCATTGGCAGCGATTACAGCCTTGAGTCTTGGGTATAACGCTACAAGCTTGGCACACCTTATTTGGGGAGTTTCTCCCATTCTTCTCTGTCAGGTTGGATGGGGAGCGTTGCTGCACAGCTATTTTCAGGTCTCTCCAGAGATGTAAGATCGGGTTCAAGTCCGGGCTCTGGCTGGGCCACTCAAGGACATTCAGAGACTTGTCCCAAAGCCACTCCTGCGTTGTCTTGGCTGAGTGCTTAGGGTCGTTGTCCTGTTGGAAGGTGAACCTTCACCCCAGTCTGAGGTCCTGAGCGCTCTGGAGCAGGTTTTCATCAAGGATCTCTCTGTACTTTGCTCCGTTCATCTTTTCCTCGATCCTGACTAGTCTCCCAGTCCCTGCTGCCGAAAAACATCCCCACAGCATGATGCTGCCACCACCATGCTTCACCGTAGGGATGGTGCCAGGTTTCCTCCAGACGTGACGCTTGGCATTCAGGCCAAAGAGTTCAATCTTGGTTTCATCAGACCAGAGAATCTTGTTTCTCATGGTCTGAGTCCTTTAGGTGCCTTTCGGCAATCTCAAAGTGGGCTGTCATGTGCCTTTTACTGAGGAGTGGCTTCCGTCTGGCCACTCTACCATAAAGGCCTGATTGGTGGAGTGCTGCAGAGATGGTTGTCCTTCTGGAAGGTTCTCCCATCTCCACAGAGGAACTCTGGAGCTCTGTCAGAGTGACCATCAGGTTCTTGGTCACCTCCCTGACCAAGGCCCTTCTCCCCCGATTGCTCAGTTTGGCTGGGCTGCCAGCTCTAGGAAGAGTCTCTTGGTGGTTCCAAACTTCTTCCATTTAAGAATGATGGAGGCCACGGTGTTCTTGGGGACCTTCAATGCTGCAGAAATGTTTTGGTACCCTTCCCCAGATCTGTGCCTTGACACAATCCTGTCTCTGAACTCTATGGACAATTTCTTGGACCTCATGGCTTGGTTTTTGCTCTGACATGCACTGTCAACTGTGGGAGCTTATATAGACAGGTGTGTGCCTTTACAAATCATGTCCAATCAATTGAATTTACCACAGGTGGACTCCAATCAAGTTGGAGACACATCTCAAGGATGATCAATGGAAACAGGATGCACCTGAGCTCAATTTCGAGTCTCATAGCAAAGGGTCTGAATACTTATGTATATAAGGTATTTCTGTTTTTTATAAATTTGCAACAACAAAAAAATCGACAACCTGTTTTCGCTTTGTCATTATGGGGTATTGTGTGTAGATTGATGAGGAAAAACGTTTATTTAATCAATTTTAGAATAAGGCTGTACTGTAACAAAATGTGGAAAAAGGGAAGGGGTCTGAATACTTTCCGAATGCACTGTATATGAAATTGCCCAATGTTTTAATGTCTGTCGAACAGTTATTCCATTAAATGTGACATATTTAGGCCTTGCTGCTATTATTTTCGATGTGATCGTTTTATCCAGAGACCCTGCTTTTTCAAGGACCCTCTGAAAGTTATCTGAGGCCCCTGGGGGTCCTATAGGCCCACTTTATTATTATTATTATTATTATTATTATTATTATTATTATTATTATTATTATTATTATTATTATTATTATTATTATTATTATTATTATGTGAATCACAACCCTCCGTGTAGCTCAGTTGGTAGAGCATGGCGCTTGCAACGCCAGGGTTGTGGGTTCGTTTCCCACGTGGGCCAGTATGAAAAAAATAATAATGCACTCACTAACTGTAAGTCGCTCTGGATAAGAGCGTCTGCTAAATGACTAAAATGTAAATGGCCTGGACTAGAGGAAGTTGTTTGTATGGCTGAATGGTGCAACATTCTGTGGTCTGTTTCAATACCCAGGAGATAAGATCAAGGTGAAGGTTCAATGTGCACTAGACAAGAACACACAGCCCTGCTTTTGTTTGTCCGAACCAAACTCACCTCTATTTTAAAAAAGGCAGATAAATAAGCTAGTTATGTGCGCACTAGGTTCGTATTGTGCTATGAGTTTTAGACCACAGCAGTTTTAGACCACAGCAGCACTTACTACTTTGGCACTCATTGTCGATAGAAGTTGTTATTCTGCGAAACGGCGGCCACCGAAGGCTTCTCTGTAATTTGAAACCATAGGTCTAAAACACCAGAATAGCAGGTGCACCACCTTGGAAGTCCCCCGGGGGTTAGCAGTGTGGTTACGGTTAGGGGTTTGTTCAAAATAAAAAAATAATTTAAAAAAATAGAAATGGGCGGGGTTTATGACTTTGCATCTGTTCAGCCCCGGGTGGCCTGAACAGATGCCGCGTGTATGTACTAGTCGGAACTAGGAAACTGGCATTTCCGACTTGCTATCTGGTTGAACGCGGCACTTGTATAACTAGCTACAACCAGTTAGCAAGTCGGACATTTCAGAGTTCCGACTAGTACGTGAATGCGGCAAGACAGACCTTTGCGCGCCGCCTGTCTCTACGTAGGTCACAGAGTTTAAACTCTGTACTGTCTTTGACGTCGGTGTCGTTGGCCTGCAAGTGGCTTTAACTGTAAAACATGGCGAGGCTTAGCGAGCATGGGATTCGTCTCAGTTCCGTATGTATTTTTAAAATAAGTTATTTACTGTACAGAAAACGGGTTATAAGCTATTGCATTTGTATTCGTTCTTATAGGCTAGATAGGTTGTTGACGTTTTGTTTTTATTATAAAGGAAAATACTAAATATCGAAGTTGTTTTTTTGCAGATGAGTCCGTCCTTCCTGAATAGTAATTCAACAAGTCATACGTGGCCTTTCAGCGCAGTTGCAGAACTAATAGGTAACAACAGAAAACTTTCATTTTGATACTTTCTGTGTTTTCATTTCCCCTTCTGCTGAAGACAGGAACGTTGCAAATGTTTGTGTGTAAAAACTTACTGGTGGCATGGCTTCCGCGTAATAAAATACAATAGACGCCTTGTCTGGGTCTGTGGTGAGCTCTCTTCATCGACAGTCTGTCATCCACCTGTTAATTTCTCATCGCAATATGTGTCACATATACTTAACTTTAGTTATACTTAAGTTATAAAATGTAAATATAATCAAGTGAAGTGCCATAACTTACAGAGGAGAAAAAGTTCTGCATACAGTAACTTTGACATGACGTCAGGCATGCATAAAATATTTTCATCAACGCAGTAACACCACTTGCAATGTGCGTAAAATATGTTTTATATTCATGTCTGTTTTTTATCTAAATTCGGTAGATATGTTTCAACCAATCAGCGCTGAGAAGGCTCCACTCTGTGCATGATCATTGGTTGGAATAGACCAGTTGGTTCGTGCCGTGTGCATTGTCTGTTGGTCACCTTCAAATTTGTAGTAGCCTGCGATTTGCATACTTGGAATAACCCGAGTGCGGTGCACCCTGGAGACTTGCATTTGGTTAAGCAACGCAGTGCTTGACTTGGGCAGGAAGTCACCGTAGCTGAGTACCAGCATCTCAAATGTTCTACTGCTTGAGCTGGTCGCCTTAGAATATTAGCTCAAAAGTATTGTGGAGCTCCTGCACCTGAATATAAACAGTACCGGCACCCAACATGTGTACCTGCACCTATTTTAGTCAAGCACTGAATATACATACTGGGTGTGTTTTGAGCAAATCAATTTTGTCAAGGGTGTGTTTTGAGCAAATCACTTTTGTCAAGGCGATGGTCACTACCTTCCAAAGTGTGTTGCATTATGGGGATACAAATAGTCTGACTTGTACCTACATGATGACTGCATGGACTTGACAAAAACCATGTGATCAATGGTCATGAAGTTTTGTCTGCAGTCGCCTGCAAATTTCTGCAGTTGCTCTTAACCAACTTCATCCTGCAGCCATCACCTGAATTGTGGGAGGCAATTGTCAACTAATCATTAGGGTGTTTTTGTTTGACCCACACAAACGTGACCAAAGAAGTGACTAAAACAGGAACTAACTTTGCTACGATTCATGTATAGTTGAATGTGATATTTGAGGCTCTCTTTCACCAATTTATAGTACAATGTACACACCTATATTTACTGCTTTTGAGTGTGTGATATGGGGATTGGTGACGTGTTTATTTTGACATTACAAAGAAGCTTTTAGAAACCACAGCAACACTGCCATGTTGCACCGAGCCTTCCTGTTGCAAAACCACATCCTTGTCCGACTTTAGGCTGTCCCAGATGCACCTCCCCCGACTTCACTCGTCCACTCAAAACAAGCCCATTGTGTTGTAACTTTGATTAAAGGCCCAATGCAGCTGTTTTATATCAATATCAAATCATTTCTGGGTAACAATTAAGTACCTTACTGTAACAGATTTCCATTCAAATGGGCAAAAATAGCTTTTTAGCAAAAAACTATTTCTCAAGCAAGAATTTTGCAAGGACTGTCTGGGAGTGGTCTGAGTGGGGAGAGAACTGAACTAACTGTTATTGGCAGAGAGGTTTGGAGCTCTCTTTGTTATTGGTCTATTAACCAATTTACCGCATGGTGATGTTTCAAGTACAGTGAAATGCATTTCTTGCAAACTCAAAACCCAACAATGCAATAATCAATAACAATGTAATACTAGAAGAAGAAAAAAAACACGAGAAATAAGAAGAAATATGAAGAACACAATAAGTAAGTAAGCATACTATATACAGGGTCAGTTCCAATACCATATTTACATGTGCAGGGATACTGGAGTGATGGAGGTAAGGTGACTATGCGACAAGTAGCCTAGCGGTTAAGAGCATTGGGCCAGTAACCGAAAGGTTGCTGGTTCGAATCCCCGAGCCGACTAGGTGAAAAATCTGTTGATGTGCCCTTGAGCAAGGCGCTTAACCCTAATCGCTCCTGTAGGTCGCTCTGGATAAGAGCATCTTCTAAATGTCAAATGTGAATAGGCAACAGGATATAATATAAACAGAGTAGCAGCAGCTTGTATGTGAGTGGGTGTACGTGTGTGTAGAATCAGTATAAATGTATGTGCACAATATGAGTGAGTGTGATTGTGTAGGGCCCTGTGAGTGTGCATAGAGAGTGCAAAAACAAAAGGTCAATAAAGATACAAGGTTAACGCAAGTCTGTGTAGCTATTTTGTTAGCTATTTATCAGTCTTAGCTATTTTGTTAGCTATTTATCAGTCTTATTGCTTGGGATATAAGCTATTCAAGAGCCTGTTGGTGCCAGACTTGATGCACCGGTATCGCTTGCCGTGCAGAAACAAAGAGAATAGTCTATGGTTCGTGTGGTTGGAGTCTTTAATGATTTTCCTGGCCTTCCTACCACACCGCCTGATATAGATGTCTTGGATGGCAGGGAGCTCGGCCCCAGTGATGTACTGGGCTGTCCGCACCACCCTCTGTAGCACCATGCAATCGAGGGCGGTGCTATTGCCATACCAGGCAGTGATGCAGCCAGTCAATATGCTCTCAATGGTACAGCTGTAGAACCTTTTCAGGATTTGAGGGCCCATGCCAAACTTTTTCAACTTCCTGAGGGGGAAGAGGCACTGTCGCGCCTTCTTCACGACTGCGTGTGTGTGTTTGGACCATTTTAAGTCTTTAGTGATTTGGACACCGAGGACTTTGAAGCTCTCGACCTGCCCGTTTCCTGTAGTCTACGATCAGCTCCTTGGTCTTGCTGATGTTGAGGGAGAGGTTGTTGCTCCGGCACCACACTGCCAGGTCACTGACCTCCTCCCTATAGGCTGTCTCATCGTCGCCGGTGATCAGGCCTACCACCATTGTGTTGTCAGCAAAGTTGATGATGGTGTTGCAGTCGTGGGTTACAGCAAATACAGGAGGGGACTAAGCACACACCCCTGTGTTGAGGGTCAGCGTGGCAGAGGTGATGTTGCCTACTCTCACCACCTGGGATCGACCCGTCAAGAAGTCCAGGATCCAGTTGCAGAGGGAGGTGTTCAGACCCAGAGTCCTAAGCTTGGTGACAAGCTTGGAGGGGACAATGGTGTTGAATGCTGAGCTGTAGTCAATGAACAGCATTCTCACATACTGTAGGTATTCCTCTTATCTAGGTGGGTGAGGGCAGTGTGGAAAGCAATTGAGATTGCGTCATCTATGGATCTGTTGGGGCAGTATTCAAATTGGAGTGGGTCTAGGGTGTCTGGGATGATGGAGGTAATGTGTGCCATAACCAGCCTCTCAAAGCACTTCCTGATTACAGAAATGTAGTCATTGTGGCATTAAGCCTTAGAGTTCTTGGGGAAAGGAATGATGGTGGTCATCTTAAAACGTGGGGATTACAGACTGGGACAAGGAGAGGTTGAAAATGACAGTGAATATGCCTGCCAGCTGTTCCACGCATGCTCTGAGAACACGCCCTGGAATACCGCCGGGCCTTGCGGGTGTTGACCTGATTTAAAGACCTTTCTCACGTCTGCCTCGGAGAGTGAGATCACTCAATCCTCTGGGTCGGTGACGGCCCTCACACAATGTTGTTGTCAAAGCGTGCATAAAATGCATTGAGTTCGTCTGGTAAGAGGCATCGTTGGGCAGATCATGGTTGGATCTTCCTTTTTAATCCGTAATGGACTAGCCCCTGCCACATGCGGCGGGCGTTGAAGCCTGTGTAATATGATTCCAGCTTATTCCTATATGTCACCATGGAAAGCCGAAACTCCCACCCATACAAACTTGCTGATTAGAAGGTCCTGTGTAGATTGTATTTTCGACCAGCAACTATCAAGAAATAACACTGATCAAATTTGTTAACACTTTTACAGTGTTAGTTTCATTAGCTGTTGTACAATATGATATAAAACACAGGAAAAATATAATTTTGACTGCACAGGGCCTTTTAAGAATAGAATAGATAGCAGTTCACCTACTTCACACCATCTGATAGGCTATACTATCCAGAAGGGTTTCCTAAACTGGGTCCTGCAACACTTTTACATAATGCACACCCATGCTTCAGGATAAGTTGGTGAACTGATTTTAATAATTACAGTACACCCATGTCTAGACAGCGTTACTGTGAAGCACTGTGTGACTTTTACAACTTGTTCTACAACAGTTTTTCATGTAGAAAGGGCTTTATAGATGCATTTAATGATTGATTGACTGAGTGACTTTGTGCTGTGTAGATAATGCATCAGACCCGGGCGTGACAGCCAGGCAGATCTGGATAGATGTGGTGGAGGAGCAGCAGCAGCTTTGTCTGGCCTTCACTGACAACGGCAGCGGTATGACCCCCAGCAAACTGCACAAGATGCTCAGGTGAGAAACACACACACATATGTACGGTTGGCTACACACACACACACACTGCTGTTTGATCATCCATGTTGCAGCCTCTACACACATACACACACACACACACACACTGCTATGTGAACTGTTATACTGTAATAACCATACATAAACCACAGAGATGAGTTACTAACACATAGCGGTCCATTTTGTCTTTTTTCACACCCTTCTTTTCTCTCACTCACGCCTACTCTCCCTCTCTCTCTCTCTCACATAAACACATGTGAACACACACACAGTCATTCTCTTTCTCCTCCACACA